AGATGTCAAAATGGCCGCACGCAGAGAATTGATACTCTAATTTTAAAATCGATGGTGATCTCTTATCTAGCAGAATAAAACTTTAATATTTATGAATTTGAGATTTTTGATACAGAATGGACATAATATCAATTTTTCATTTTTTTGCGAAGTTTCCCTTTAAGCCGCTCATGTCTTCCTGTAGAATGTTTACAGTAGAAATGGCATGTTAAAAAGCTGACTAAGTGGCTAAAGTGCGTCTGTCTAGCACAAAGCAGTGTTCATACTCACATTACATAACATGTAAAGTTTGCCATTGAATTTTACAGGGTTGGCAAATTATTATAAACCTGGTTTTCTAAGGTTAGGCAATACCCCCAGAAGTATGAGGCGCCGTTTTACTATTTATTACCTATTTTCTGATATCAAAAAATGATTTTCTGATATCAAAAATTCTATTTTTTGATATCAGAAAATCGATTTCTTGATATCAAGAAATAAAGAATATTTTCTGATATCAAAAATTCGAATTCCTGATATCAAAAATTCATTTTTTGATATCAGGAAATAGATTTTTTGATATCAGAAATTCGAATTTTTGATATCAGAAAATATTTTTGATTTTTTGATATCAAGAAATAGATTTTGTGATATCAAAAAATGATTTTGTGATATCAAGAATTCGAATTCTTGATATCAAAAAATGATTTTTTGATATCAGAAAATAAGAAATAAATGAATGATGGCTCCCTGTGTGTCATTTAAAACATTCAGGCTCACCAATGAGGCCAAACATCAGGAATTATCTGAAATAATGTTCCCGGTAGACCAATTGTTTTATAGTGTGGAGTACCACTATACACGGTATTGGTCATTATATTGATGACATTGTGTCCCTTGTTACAAAAACAAAATGCTTATACACTTCAAGTTTTATAAACATGAATAAGACCTGTCTCCGGAAAACTGCTATTTAATAACAATATTTGAAGTAAAAAAAATATTTACTCTAATCTTCAGTTTGATCAAACTTATTACGAAATTTAAGACCCATGCACTACAAGACAATATATGGAAGATTTTTTTAAATTATTCCTAAATAAAACATATTTACTCTTGTGTCATACAATCCGAATGGGCGGGATATGTCGACCTAAGAATTTATTACATACTGGAAAATGTTTTCAAGATTTAGATACGATGGCTCGATAATATATTCAGGTTCAACTGGCGATATACACGATCTTTTCGCCTTATATATCTAATACAATGCATAAACAAGTCTAAATTGAAAACAACGTTCTAACCTATGATTGCGTTGGATAAAATTTTTATACGTGTGCAAGCAAAACAAATTTCTTGGTAGAGAGGGGTCTAAATACAGCACAAACAACATTTTCCAAAAGATCAAAAAAGTGAAAAAGAATATTTTAACAAAACACATTTGGCTAACAGGTCGAACAACTGATGTTCTTAAACCCTGCTGACTGCCATTGGCGATTGCCAAATAAACGGATCACAAGATGTAACAAAATTGATCTATATTATTAATTTAATACCAAACAGAAAACAATAAACTTGCGGAAAAGATGGTATACCGCAAACATGAGGTGCAAAAATTTGTACACCATATCCGGATTTCGACAATTAATATCTCTTCAGTGATGTTAGGAATCGAAACGGTATTTGGAAGACCATATAGTTTACCTCAGTTTAGGATAGACTCTTGAATTTTGAAGAGTCGAAATATATACCCTACTAAATTGTACTTATACCACTTTTCTCAAAATGAAGTGAAAATTTCTTGACAATCCTTTCAATATAAAGACAAACTTTTCCAAAATGAAGGTATTTTAGAGATGAAAACGTACATCCAACCTACTGAAACGTTTCATTACTTCACAGAAAAAGCTCATATGTATCTAAAATGATTATGGACGACGCGGTTCATAAGAAATACTAGCAGTCTCGTAAAAAGACGAAATAGACAAATCTTTCGAAAATACAAGACATGCATTTTTTTTATGTTGTTGTTGGCTTTGAACTAGTTGTCACTATCGCATCTGTAATTTGTGTCTTTTTGTTGTTGTTACCCTGCCACGTGTGTTCTTACACTATGTTGTAATGTAACACCAGTGTCCCAGGTTAGGGGGAGAGTTGAGCGCTCAAACATGTTTCATCCCGCCACATTCTTTATGTGTCTGTTCCAAGTCCGGAGCCTGCAGTTTAGTGCATTGTCTTGGTTCATAGAATTGAGAATGGAAATGGTGGGGGGGATATGTCAAAGAGAAAACAACCCGATCAAAGAGCAGACAACAGCCGAAGGCCACCAATGGGTCTTCAACGCAGCGAGAAAATCCCGCACCCGGAGGTGGTCCTCAGCTGGACCCTAAATAAAATTGTGTACTAGTTCAGTGAAAATGGACGTCACACTAAACTCCAAAACATATCAATGAAGTAAAATTAAAAAACATACAAGACCAACAAAGGCCAGAGGCTCCTGACTTGGGACAGGCGCAAAAATGCGGCGGGGTTAGACATTTTTTGTGAGATCTCAACCCTCCCCCTATACCTCTACCCAATGTAGAATAAAGAAAAACATAGCAATACGCACAGTAAAACTCAGTTTAAAAGAAGTACGAGTCCGATGTCAGAAAAGGTAATAAAATAAACTAAGCATAAATGAACAAAGGACTACTAGCAGTTACTGACATGCCAGCTCCAGACCTCAATTAAACTGATTGAAAGATTATGTCTTCATCATAAGAAAATCAAGTACAATCCCTCCCGTTAGGAGTTTAGTATCATACCATCATAGAATACATGAGAAGAACATAAACCGTATCATGCCAACAAATGGTTTTAGAATAAATGTGTTTATTTCCGATGCAAAGACCCTATGAGTGAATCAATATTAATACCAAAATATTCAATCATTAATGACTAATTGACAACAGTATCGTAACTACCGGTATATCCTTTCCGAATAAGTCTTTTTAAAGGTTAGGTTAAACTTTGAGGTGAATGCCGACATTTTTGTTCTTTGTAAAGAATATTTCCATCAAATATTGGATGTGAAATACCTGAACGTATAAGAAGTCTGAATGTTGATTTATATTTACGAATGATGTCTGCCGTATTTGTTTTACGTAAATTGTTTTGTTATAAATCATATAGGCCTTTAGCTTTCTAAATTGAGTTGTTTATTTCTTTTTCATATTGGGGCCTTTTATAGGAGACTATATGGTATGGGATTTTCTCGTTGTTGAAGGCCGTACGGTTGCTTATAATTGCTTACATCAACTTCATTTGAACTTTGGTGGCTAGTTGTCTCATGGGCTATCATACCACATCTCCTTATTTTTAAACTTAACAGAACTAACTTACTTACTAAATCCTCAACATAAACAACGGGAAAAAAATATAAAAACAAGATGAACAAAACACTGGGGCTTGATATTTGCAAAAACCTGACTGCACAAATCTGTTTCAGAGGAAACCAATAATTGCTTATAAAAGAAGTGAGAACTTACAATTGTTGACTATAAACCTTAAAATAATAAATATGTGAAACACAAAAAACACAAAACTTCTTATATTGAGACTGATGAAGCCGAACTCTGATAAATGCTTTCGTGTATATTACACGACCGAAACACCAGACTTAATGTAAGGGCTCATTGCTGAACGTTGATGCTTTTATTGACACACAGGGAGCAATCGTTGATATTTTTCTTATTTTCTGATATCAAAAAATCATTTTTTGATATCAGGAATTCGAATTTTTGATATCAAAAAATCATTTTTTGATATCAGAAAATGTATTTCTTGATATCAAAATATCGTCAGTAATATTTGATATCAAAAAATCTATTTTTTGATATCAGAAAATGGATTTCTTGATATCAAAAAATGATTTTTTGATATCAAAAAATCGAATTTCTGATATCAAGAAATAAAGATTATTTTCTGATATCAAGAAATCGAATTCTTGATATCAAAAAAGACAATTTTTGATATCAAAAAATTGAATTCCTGATATCAAGAAATATTTTTTGATATCAAGAAATATTTCCTGATATCAAAAAATCATTTTTTGATATCAGGAATTACATTTTTTGATATCAAGAAATATTTTTTGATATCAGAAAATAAGGAATAAATAGTAAAACGGCGCCTCATACAGAAGTTGGTGATAAATGCATGTTGTACAGGGTAATGTGGTTGTTGTTTTCTTGACCCATGCTGGATGGGGGATATAGAATATTTTGTACCTTGCGTCCATCTGATCATGCTGATGGTAGGTATACATTGTACATTTTTTGGTGTCAGAAGTTATTAAAATCAGTCAAAGGTTAATACCAGCAAGGTCTTGGAACTGTGCTGTCAAATTGTTTTTACAGGAGTTATGGATAATGCTGCTTGTTAATAGATATTATAGGGAAATTACATTGTTAGGGATTTCTTGACTACATTTTGTAAGATATTTAATACATAGAAGTATATAAGAACCCAACAAATTTTTCTCAAGTAATATATAATTGTCCTTGGACAGATAAAATATGTGCCACATTGGAAACTATCTGTCAATATTGTCATGTTTTATTTAATTTTAATTTTACACAGAACAGTTCAAACACATTGTAGTTTCATAATACCATTGCCATATATAAACATTTTACACAGAAAAACCCTGAGTTATTTTAAGAGGAGAAAAAAAAATCAATTTCTTCAATTTCTCAAACAATTTCATATACTAAATGCACAGAACAAGTATTGTATAAAATAAGGATATATGTGGTATGATTGCCAATGAGACAACTATCCAACAGAGTTTAAATGACAGGATTAAAGCAACTATAAGTCAACAAATGGTCTTCAACAATGAGTAAAACCCATACCTTATACAAGACCCTGACATAACAGAATGGATGAAAGAACATTATTTGAACAAAAAACTTTTTTCCAGTTCAAAGAATATTACTGGTAGTGTAATATTTCAATTTTTTTTTTATTTACAGATTGTTTGTTCACTGTTGGTCACTTAAGTGGGAAAAACTGATTGGATAAAGATATTAAACAGTCTTTATAGTACTGGTGAAATAGGTGAGTTTTCACAGTGGTAAATTTGTTTGTTCTTTTTGAATAGGGGACATTTCAATAGTAAAATTAAATCGGTATTAATATTTTGCATTGTAATTGGCCACTGTACCATTTGTAGTTAAATTAAAATAAAGATTTTATGTTTTGATTTTGATAAAACAGTTTACCTTTTACTGCTATAAAATGTTTTATTCTTTATTTCATCTCTCAATTTCAATTTTTGCAGGAGACTCATCTGATTGTGGAAGTTTGTGTAGTGGAAAGAAGGAGTTACATACAGATGCTGTTTTGAATCATAAGAAATGACTGATATTAATTCATTTCTTCAATTCCTCATTAGCTTCTTCACAAGGAATAAATTGTGTAAGGAGTTCTATATTCCTATTTAAAGACCTAACTTTTTTTTTCCATTTGAGTGTATGAAAGCAAATTAATTGAATTCATTCTGAAAACTAAGCTTAAATAGTTTTATGTACATGTATATGTGACTTTATCTTTACTTGACTTTTTATTTATAAGTTATTTAAACATTAATAATTTTATTCTTTGTATGAGAAGCTATAATCAATCGACTATATATGTTTTTCTCGCCTGCGATGAAAGTCCGGGAAAGTGAGACATAAGGGTTCCTTTTCTTGCGATGATGGCTCTGGCATCAACAATTGTTAAGTTTGCTGCTTAAGTTAGTAAGTTTGACAGGTATTACTTGTGATAGATCATTGATATTTAATATAAAGTATTACTATCAGTACATATCAGTTTGACAACTATTTTGAGGACCTGTCCCTAGGATATGGTGCAGTGACTTGGATTTAGAGATTTTCAATATTAATAGAAAAACAAAGGATATGAAGTATCCATCCATGACACAAAATCAGTAAATTCACAACAAAAAAGCAAAGGAACAGTGCTTTTATTGCTGTTCTTCATCTCAAAGTCACAGTGAGACCTCAACTCGGAGCAAAAAAACTTTCACTTTACTGCAAGTTGAAGACAGCCCCTAGCACCGGCTTTAGCAGAATTCTTTGCAAAAATAATTTGGATAGACTTTGTAAGATGTAACACCACTCAATCGGGTTAAGTCGAAAAAGAACATACTGGAAAGTAGTACATATTTAAAACAAAAAAAATTTACTGCTTAAGCTAGTTTGATAGGATCTAATTCTGACACATACATTACAATATATCCAAAAATAAAGTAATTGTCTGATACAGAAGTTTTATATGTTTTAAATAATAATGCTGTTTTTGCCTTCTTTGTTTTTATTCCCTTTGAAAATATATCATTTTGTCCAACAAATTTTTAAAAAATCTGCATTAAGGCTTTTTTAATATTGCAAATATTTGACCTGATAACAATTTAGACTGTTGGAATCATCATTGGCATCATAATGATATCAAGTTTGACCTGACATGAGGAAGGCAAGTGTCATAAACTTATGAAACAATAAAATTGAGAATGGAAATGGGGAATATGTCAAAGAGACAACAACCCGACCAAAGAGCAGACAACAACCGAAAGCCACCTATGAAACAAGTTTGTTTTGGATCAAGAAAATACTCAAATTAATACAATAAACAATGTATACATTGACATATACACACATTAAAATTAGATGAGTTGTGAGAGAATCCTTTTTTTTTAAGCTAATCTGGCAAAAGTGACTAATTGTGTCTTCATACTCAGTTCATTGTTTGTCATCTGTAAACCTTTTAGCTCACATCCCCATAAAGCCACTGAACTACTGTATAAACTTACTTGTTGTCCATTGTAAACTTTTTAACAAACTTGAGGTGAATGGTTCTTATGGTGTCTAGTATAAACTTTGTTGATTTTTATTCTGGTCAGTCTGTACACAGCAAACACTTTTGGATGAGTCTTTAAGGAATTATTACCCTTTAATAGTGATTTAATCAATTTTTGCATTTTGGGCAAATTCAATAGTAGTTTAAAAGAGAAACTGTAACCAGCCAAAATGATCAGCAATATGCATTGATTAACAAATAAGATATGAGTGCTGAATTAGAATGGGGTCTATAATGTAAGAGAGTGGTCATTTTTGAAGATGCAAATACATTTTTGTTTCTCCTTGACGGAGTCAAAAAGCGAGACATAGGTATGCTGTTTCCGGCGTCAGCGGCGGCGGCGTCAACAATGTATTAGTTTGTGATTAGGTCTAGTTCATGGTGAACCACTAGTGGTAGGTCAATGATATTTGGTATGCAGTTGTATTAGCATTGGCACATCTCATTACCATGGAGATTATTTGGCCCCGCCCCCTCAGTCAAGGTCTATTGACTTTGAAACTTTTCATAGTTTACATGTATTAGTTTGTGATTAGGTCAATTTATGGGGAACCACTAGTGGTAGGTCAATGATATTTGGTATGCAGTTGTATAAGCATTGGCATATCTCATTTCCATGGAGATTATTTGGCTCCGCCCCCTTAGTCATGGTCTATAGACTTTGAAACTTTTGCTAAGTTAACATGTATTAGTTTGTGATTAGGTCAGTTCAAGGGGAACCACTGGTGGTAGGTCAATGATATTTGGTATGCAGTTGTATTAGCATTGGCACATCTCATTACCATGGAGATTATTTGGCCCCACCCCCTCAGTCAAGGTCTATTGAGTTTGAAACTTTTGCTTAGTTTACATGTATTAGTTTGTGATTAGATCAGTTTAAGATGAACTGCTAATGTTAAGTCAATGATATTTGGTATGCAAATGTATTGGTATTTGCAAGTATCGTTTCCATGGAGATTATATAGCCCCACCCCTGATCATGGTTCATTGACTTTGAAACTTTTACATAGTTTACAAGTTAATGTTTGTGTTTAGGTTTGTTTAAAGGGAACGACTTTTAATAAGTCAATGGTATTTGGTATGCAGTTGTATTAGCATTGGCACATCTCATTCCATGGAGATTGTTTAGCCATGTACCTTCAGTCATGGTTCATCGACTTTGAATATTTGCATAACTTACCTGTGAAAGTATTGCTATTTGAATTTCAACATTTGCATTATCAAAATTACAAAAAGGCGAGACATATCTCTGTGATAACAGTTTATGTAGATCCAAGTGAGTGACAGAGACTATTGTCTAGTTAAAAAAGCTTCCCTGAAACTACTGCTTAGTGGTGTGTAAAATATTGCTTAAATATTGTATGTCAATAAAAGACGAGTTGAAACAAAAAAAGATCAGCATTTTAGGCGCATTGAGCCTGTAGTTTACCGTTTTGCTGTGACTGATAACAGCTTCATATCAGGATCAGTGCTGAACTTATATACTTTGTTGTGTCTTTCTGACGAAGTTTTGTTTATCTTTAAAATGTCACAAAGAGTGGGTCATGGATTAAATTGACCACTGTCTCGAGTCACAGGGAGGACTGGGCACTAACAAACATTATTAACCCTGCCAGGTTCTGTATGCGTTTGTCCCATGTCATGGGGGATCAAATTGAGAATGGAAGCGGGGAATGTGTTAAAAGAGACAACAACCCGACCAAAGTGCAGAAATCAGCCCATAGCCACCAATGGGGGTCTCATTGGGTGGTTCTGATCCCGGATCCCGCTTACTGTTTTGACAGATTCCCGTATCCCGCTATGTACGTAAGCAATTCTCATTTCCCGTATCCCGCTAGACTTCATTTCCCGTTATTATTTCAATAATTTGACTTTCACGTGTCACGCTTATAAAAAATCGGCAATCCCGCGTCACGCTTAGACCCCAATGAGACCCACACCAATGGGTCTCATAGGCGGATCCAGGCCCCCCCCTTTCGTGGGAAAAATTTGGTTGATTATATAGGGAATCACTAAAGCATGACTGGAGCGGGGCCCCCCTTATGAAAAGTTCTGGATCCGCCACTGGGTATTCAACACAGGTGCTGCTGTATTTCGGTGATTGTCGTTGGTTGCTGGCTTTCATATTTTATTTTCGTTTCCGATTCTGATAGTGTGTTTTCAAAACAAGAATCAAAAGAATTTGTAAAGATTTGGAGCGGTCCAGAATTGCTTGTACGATTTAATGCTAAACAATGATATATTATCCAATTAAAGGGGGCGTACGCATTCTACGCCCTCTCCCTTAATCCATACATAATTGGATTGAGGTGAGGGGATGGGTAGACAAGTGGACCCGCCCACCCTTATGGGACTACATGTCTATTGCATATAGACTGTATGCCCCACTCCTGATGTTTTTTAGTGGTTCCCCCCTTTTTTTAAATCCTGGATCAGCAACGGAAATGGTATATGAAACATTTTGAAGATGAAAAATAGGGTAAAATATGATGTAAAGCAATGCATATATATTACTCTTCAAGGGTATTTTGAAAACACACATTGGAACTGGAGCAAATGCATGTAGGGCTGGCCTACATCTGTGGTAACATCCCTTTTCGTCATCAATACAAATAAGTAGGATTATTTATCCAATGAAAGAAAAATAAATACCTATCGGATCGCTTGCCAACCCGTGTATTAAAAAAGTAAGATATGATCATGAAATAACGTATTAAGGGAAATCATGAATTTATACAAAATATATTCATTCGTATATCTGCATATCCTACCGAGAGTTCAAATTTTTAAATTCATAATGAGAAAAAATACAATCAGTTAAACTGACAAATTCTTTGAATAGGAATAAACCATAAAGGTAATGAAAACCGTGTGTTAAACTTCAAACACAATACCAATATCAAAGGTTACGGCTACAGCGATTATTAAAAAGAAATAGAAAGGGAGTCAAAGGGAGTCATAAAATTTAAATTGCATGAATTATAATATAATAGCCCAATCATTTTATGACCTCGGAGTCAATACTTTCTATTTCTGTTTTCTGATATTTTCATTGCTTATTTTACTATTTCTTATATTTTATTTTCTATATACCGTTTTTACTATCAAATGCACCCCCCCCCCCCCCCAAAAAAATAAAGAAAGAAAAATGAAAATATCACCAAAAACCTTTGAAAAAAAAAGGATAATGCGCACGTTTCCGGACTAGTGTAACAAGAGAGAAAAAAACAACCGTACATAAAATCATAGCTGTATAAAAACACACACACATCTATGGTAAAATCCAGGATTTGTATAGTGAAATCAAATCCTTGGTAAAATGAAACAGTCAGTCGAATACACCGCGGACCAAGCATATGATAAGGTGTACATGAAGTATTGCAGATTAACGACAAACTATCTTCTATTTATTCGATCACACAAAAAAAATAAGAAGCAAAAAGCAGAAAAAACAAATTAATCAATAAAAAAAAACACTGTCGATAATGGTTATACTATCTACAACAGTATAATGGAGGAACGACGGTGGCGCGTGGTTGTGATTAATACGCCGCCTAGATAAACAAAACTGTGTATTGACCTTTTAGTGATAGAAAAACAGAGTTCAAATATATAAATATTCATGTTATAACTTATTGTCATACTTCCGTCAAAACTTTTAAACCAATAGCATGACACAAATTATTTTTCGAACAGCTCTGATATTTTCTCATAAATTATAGTCAAACCCAGAGAGGTTCGAACGAAATCTTCCAAGCATAGTATCATTGGTTTCCTTCCCCCTTACTTATATTCCCCTGGTCTTATGCACACAATCACATACACATTTATATCGTCTTGGTACCTGTTTTGACGCGGACCAGAAATGACGCACCGATTTAATTAACGGTTTTATATTTCTAAACAAAAGCCGTGACGTCATCAACATTTGCTGTTCATAACATGATGTTGAAGGTCATCTGACTACAACAAAGATGCCTAAAACTCTGCCCAGAAATGTTATTATTGCTTAAAATATTAAAGACAATGCAATTTCCGCCATTTTATTAAGGTCAAAAAAATTCTACCGTTCCCCGAAAGATTATCAGTCCTATCTCCACTTTGGTCAAGAAAAGTATGTAACCGTATGCTTCCCGATTTTGTTTTTTTCAAATCACGTGACTGTCATGTGACATGGTTTTACATTTAAGCGGGAATCACTGTAGAACAAATGATCGTCGCTTATATAATTTTCTATGGTTTATCGATTTTTTTCATTCAATGTATGAAGTATACATTGATAAATGTATTATTGTCAATGTTGTTTTATGGATGCAATTACTTTTTATTTTCAAATATATGGAATATATATATCACTTTCATTAATTTTGAACAATTATATACCAAAATATAGGTTACAATTAAATTGATTAAAAATTTGGTGTTACAATCATCATGATCATTAAAGTGAATGAAAATGTCAAAAGTTGTTAATAAAATTGAATGTTGAACAGATTTAACTTTAAAGAATCCGGTTTGAAGCAATTTTTCGATTATCAGTTACGTGCAAGTGGATTTTACTGGTTTGTTTACAGTGCGTCATTACTGGTACCCATCATTAGTTGGCAGTCCGTTTGTAATGTTAGCAAACATGAATGTTATTGCTATAACTGTTTCAAATATCAACTGTTTAATGATTGAAATATAATAACAAGTTATCAATCTTTTATTCCATTCCGTTTTTCTAATTCTTTGAAATGGTAGATTAAATGCAGAGACATAACAACCTTAGGTGCGTCATTACTGGTTCCTCGGGGATATCGTTGCGTACTTTACTAAATATATACAAATTGGTAAGAAATATAAGCAATATTCCAGGAATTAATATTTTAGATAAATATCTTATGCAAGGTAAACTTCGAAAATGTTTCACCAGAGGATACTTATAAGTTTAGAAAGCAATGTTAATCATGTAGAAGTGACCTGAGGCTGATGCATTGTTTTAACGCCCCACCTAGGGGCATTATGTTTTTCGGTCTGTGCGTCCGTTCGTTCGTCCGTTCTTCCGTCCGTTTCGTCCGTCTGTCCCGCTTCAGGTTAAAGTTTTTGATCAAGGTAGTTTTTGATGAAGTTGAAGTCCAATCAACTTGAAACTTAGTACACATGTTCCCTATGATATGATCTTTCTAATTTTAATGCCAAATTAGAATTTTGACCCCAATTTCATGGTCCACTGAACATAGAAAAATGATAGTGCGTGTGGGGCATCCGTGTACTATGGACACATTCTTGTTCTTTATATAAGTAGATAGAAGATCCCTTTGATTATGCTTTTTAATATATACTTTATTAAAATCATATACATCATACAACAATACAACATAACAAAATAAAAATCAGGGCAAACAGGTACATGTATTAGGGCAAACAGGTATTAGGGGGATCGTGAATCAGGGCAAATGGACCCGGGTTCCTTTTTGACTCCCTGCACTTATATATGGGTTACAGTTTATAGGACTAGTTTAAATATTTATGACCATCTATTACTTTAAGGTTATTTTGAAGAAATGTGTTAACCAAAAATTAAAAAAAAAAAAAAAACTGATATTTATTTAGACTATCACTATCAGGTTTTAAAGATAGTTGATTAATAATTTTTCAAAATCTTTCATTTGTGTTCATTAATTTCAACTTGAATACATGTGTAGCACCTTCTAAAATAACTTTACATGTGCACACTCAAAAGTGACAGAATACAAGCTGGTGCTAGCAGTCATATATTTGTAGAAGTAGAAGTATATATGTCAATAGACCTCATCACCATTGATCACCAGTTTGGATTTTGTGACATTCTTGATCGACCTATTTACTTCACACAGAAATCAGTTTTGCTCTGTGGCAACAAAAATGCCAAAATTTCAGAATCTTCTTTGATATCCAGTCAGGGCAGACATGTATAATGAGAAAGTGTACATGATATATGAGACAGCAATCAAACAACACATGAAACCAAATCCCATAAAAGGAATCACTAATTCATTAAGAATTATATCACTGAAACCATTCTGCTGAAACTTGAAACAGAATGTTAAATTTTGAAATTTTTCCTGTTAAATACCTATTTCAATTTATTTTTTTATATTTAAAATTGTTCCATTTTCACTTTGTGTGAAAACAGTAAAGTTTCGAAACCATTAACTGATTAAATACATGCAGAACTTTAATTTCCACATGTGTATCTTCTCATGACATGTTAAAAAGAAGAAATTTTGGTATTTCCTTTTTTTTATACAATCAATCAAAGTGGAATTTTGAACACAGTATGTCCTTTGAGTCATTTGTATTTTCAATTTTTTCCAAAATGATTGACAATTGGAAAAAATGGTAAAAACTTACCCATTGTTTAAAAAATCACAAACTTTGAGAAGCATCTTCTTGTAGTAGGACGTCATCAAAAAGTGATATATAATAGGCATAATATGCATTCCAAATTGTTTCCTCAAGTCAAAATTGAGTTAAAAACTTAGTTTTTCTTTAAAAAAAATAAATCCCAGAATCCTATTTCTTGTTAGGTATTAAATGAAAACAGTATCATTTGCTATTACGAAATGATTCTCTGTCAAAATAATTGTTTGCCCACCAAAATACATGTCATAGTGCTTGGATTTTAACAAAACATATATTAATTGAGAACACATCCTGAATTAATTGCTGGTATCAAATTTAAAGAAAATTGACAACATGTGAACATTTGCTTTGTATGCATCAGTCTCTTTGCCTCATATATAAACGTGCATGCATGGCCCTTCCTGACATGTCAATATTCTCTAGTTTTGTAATCTTATGATTATCTATAAAAAAAAATTGTAGCATTGATTTTGCTTATTCATGACCATTACATAAAATTATAATATGGAAACTTCAACTTAGAATTAAAATGAAAATCTGATTAAAAATTTGTCTTTAAATATTAAGTTCACAATATAAATTTTTACTTCTTCCAGGTTAATGAACAACAGCATGAAAGACATTTAAGATGGCAATGGTGCCATCCCTGAAAAGCATTTCAACTTTGGCAAGTAGTCATGTGTTACTAGATTTTGTAGAAGAAACAAACCCAAGACTAACTGAATATCTGCTGACACTGTTAGAAGATGGGGTATATTCAGCTGTTACAGAGGATTTGTTGATTATCTTGTTACAGTTTTATTCAGAAAAAGTAACTGATAGAATATTGAAGGCTGTTGTGCCATGTCATTTGAGGGAGCTCAAAGTAGATAAATGCCTGCCACAGTTGACTTTCTTTGGATTAACTGAAGTTATAAAAAAGTGAGTACCCGGTAGAGTGATTAAATTTGTAATCATTTATTTATTGGGAAGGAAATAAATAATTTTGTCAGTTTGATTTGCTGTATCTGTGGCGATTTAAAATTTTGGACAATGTATTGTTGAACTGTTCCATTGAAAGAATATATACTACATGCAGTTTTGTGAGTTGATACATTGTACATGTATTTTCATCTATTTTGTAGATAAATTTTTTCTTTGGGAATAATCAATGAGTGATGGATTTTAGGTAGAAGAAATTTAAAGGTCCCAGCTGTGAATAAACTCCACTGAGAACAATACCTATTGTACAATGTATTCTTTTAATTAGACAATACACTGTCCAAAAATTTAAATTGACACAGATAAAGCAAGTCAAACTGGGGAAATGTTTTATTTTCTATGCAATAATAATATTTGCATAGGCAGAAAATTCCTAAGACTGTAGGTCCATGACTTGGTTATCATATGTTTATTTTTTGGCTTTAATTTATTCAGACTTTGCAGCATTCTGACTTTCTTGTCATAAAAAATTAAAAAAAAGTAGTAAGAATGATATTGTCATGTGAAGTATTTCTTAACTGAATTCCCATTTGGTGGTAATTATGTAAACACTTAATCAAATTCAAATGTCAGATTCATTGCAAGTAAGAGCAAAACTAATTGTTTACTACTACTGAAATCATGGAAATACATGTAGGTACCTTCAATATTGAATTCAGTCTAAAGAAATTTGTTTGTGTGATAGTCATGATAGTATTCTAATGACAATCATTTTGCATAAGACTTTTAAAAAAAGTATAAAATGCAATAGATTATTTCTTAAATCTGCAGATGGTTGTTTATCTCTAAAATAAACCGAAGCTGGTTTTTATACGAACGCAAAAAAATTTTGCGGTCGTATATTGGTATGACGTTGGCGGCGTTGTCATCGTCTTCGTCCGAAGACACATTGGTTTTCGCACTCTAACTTTAGTTAAAGTGAATGGATCTCTATGAAATTTTACCATAAGGTTCAATACCACAAAAGAATGGTTGGGATTGATTTTGGGGGTTATAGTACCAACAGTTAAGGAATTAGGGGCCAAAAAGGGGCATAAAATAAGCATTTTTGTAACTTCCAGACATAACTTGTGTGTTAGTGTATGGATCTCTCTGACATTGTACCACAAGGTTCCATATCACAAAGGGAATGCTGGGAATGATTTTGGGGGTAATTGCCTCAAAATTTTAGGAATAAGGGGCCAAAAAGGGGCAAAAAACAAGCATTTTTATACGACCGCAAAAAAATTTTTGTGGTCGTATATTGGTATGACGTTTGCGTCGTCGTCGTCGTCCGAAGACACATTGGTTTTCGCACTCTAACTTTAGTTTAAGTGAATGGATCTCTATGAAATTTTACCACAAGGTTCAATATCACAAAAGGAAGGTTGGGATTGATTTTGGGGGTTATGGTACCAACAGTAAAGGAATTAGGGGCCAAAAAGGGGCCAAAAATAAGCATTTTTGTTACTTCCAGACATAACTTGTGTGTTAGTGTATGGATCTCTCTGACATTGTACCACAAGGTTCCATATCACAAAAGGAATGCTGGGATTGATTTTGGGGGTAATTGCCTCAAAATTTTAGGAATTAGGGGCCAAAAAAGGGGCAAAAAACAAGCATTTTTCTAGTTTCATGACAATAACTTGTGTGTAAGTGTATGGATCTTTCTGAAATTGTACTGCAAGGTTCCATATCACAAAGGGAAAGCTGGAATTGAGTTTAGGGGTAATTGCCGAAACGTTTAGGAATTGGGGGCCAAAAAGGGGCCAAAAATAAGCATTTTTCTAGTTTCAGGACAATAACTTGTGTGTAAGTGTATGGATCTTTATGAAATTGTACTACAAGGTTCCATATCACAAAGGGAAAGCTGGGTTTGAGTTTGGGGTAATTGCCCTAAAAGTTTAGGAATTTGGGGCCAAAAAGGGGCCAAAAAACACATTTTTCTAGTTTCCAGACAATAACTTTTGTTCAAGTGCATGGATCTCTCTGAAATTGTACTGCAAGGTACCATACCACAAAGGGAAGGCTGGGATTGAGTTTGGGGGTGATGAATCATAAGGGGGTTCAAACAATTTGGGGGGGGGGGGTTTCCTTTTTTTCCTTTTTTTTTTCTTTTAAAATTTTCCATTTTAAGTTGGTTATTTCTGATTTATATTTAAAAGCAAATAATAATGATATGGTAGGAGATACACACCAAACAGGATGTGTAAATTATTATATAATAAGTATTGTGCAATAACAAGAAATTTTCAATTGCACAGTATTGCACAATAGCAAGAAATCTTCAATTGCACAGTATTGCGCAATAGCAAGAAATCTTCAATTGCACAGTATTGCGCAATAGCAAGAAATATCCAATAGCACAATATTGCGCAATAGCAAGAAATTGTCAATTGTACAGTATTGCGCAATAGCAAGAAATATTTAATTGCACAATATTGTGCAAAAGAAGATACTTCGTATAAATTGCTTATTTCTTGACCAATTTCAATGGGGTTTTATTCTTGAATTCTTGGGGTTCTTAAATATGCTGAATCTAACCGTGTATTTAGTTTTTGGATTTTGGGCCCCCTTTTTAAATTGGTCCACATCGAGGTCCAAAGGGTCCAAAATTAAACTTTGTTTGATTTCATCAAAAATTGAATTATTGGGGTTCTTTGATATGCCGAATCTAACAGTGTATTTAGATTCTTAATTTTTGGTTCCGTTTTCAAATTGGTCTACATTAAGGTCCAAAGGGTCCAAAATTAAACTTAGTTTGATTTTAACAAAAATTGAATTCTTAGGGTTCTTTGATATGCTGAATCTAAACATGTATTTAGATTTTTGATTTTGGACCCAGTTTTCAAGTTGGTCCAAATCGGGGTCCAAAATTAAACTTTGTTTGATTTCAACAAAAATTGAATATATGGGGTTCTTTGATATGCTGAATCTAACCATGTATTTAGATTTTTGATTTTTGGGCCCCGTTATCAACTTTGTCTACATTGAGGTCAAAAGGGTCCAAAATTAAACTTTGTTTGATATCATCAAAATTGAATTCTTGGGGTTCTTTGATATGCTGGATATAACCATGTATTTAGATTTTGGATATTGGACCATAATAGGTGAATGTCCAATTTAAAATTTTTAAGTTCTTAGACCACATTCATTCTGTGTCAGAAACCTATGCTGTGTCAAATATTTAATCACAATCCAAATGCAAAGCTGTATCAAGCTTGAATGTTGTGTCCATACTTGCCCCAACTGTTGAGGGTTCGACCTCTGCTGTCGTATCAAGCTGCGCCCTGCGGAGCATTTTATTCTAGTTTCATGACAATAACTTGTGTGTAAGTGTATGGATCTTTCTGAAATTGTAGTACAATGTTCCATATCACAAAGGGAAAGCTGGAATTGAGTTTGGGGGTAATTGCCCAAAACGTTTAGGAATAAGGGGCTAAAAAGGGCCCAAAATAAGCATTTTTCTATTTTCCAGACCATTACTTGTGTTCAAGTGTATGGATCTCTCTGAAATTGTACTGCAAGGTACCATACCTCAAAGGGAAGGCTGGGATTGGTTTTGGGGGTAATTGCTTCAAATTTTAGCAAAAAGGGGCCAAAAACAAGCATTTTTCTAGTTTCAGGACAATAACTTGTGTGTAAGTGTATGGATCTTTATGAAATTGTACTACAAGGTTCCATATCACAAAGGGAAAGCTGGGTTTGAGTTTAGGGGTAATTGCCCTAAACGTTTAGGAATTTGGGGCCAAAAAGGGGCCAAAAAACAAGCATTTTTCTAGTTTCCAGACAATAACTTGTGTTCAAGTGTATGGATCTCTCTGAAATTGTACTGCAAGGTACCATACCACAAAGGGAAGGCTGGGATTGAGTTTGGGGTGATGAATCATAAGGGGGTTCAAAAAATTGGGGGGGGTATTTTTTTTTCGTTTTTTTTCTTTAAAATTTTCCATTTTAAATTGGTTATTTCTGATTTATATATAAAAGCAAATAATAATGATATGGTTTGAATAGGTAAATTAAAAAATTTTAAGTTCTTAGACCACATTCATTCTGTGTCAGAAACCTATGCTGTGTCAAATATTTAATCACAATCCAAATTCAGTGCTGTATCAAGCTTGAATGTTGTGTCCATACTTGCCCCAACTGTTCAGGTTTTGACCTCTGCGGTCGTATCAAGCTGCGCCCAGCGGGGCATTTTATTAGTTATGTAATTGTCATCTCTTGATTTATTTGTACATGAAATTGGTTCTTAATGCAAGACTATTGGTTTAATCTTTTGAGACAGTGTTTATGAGGCAATCATATTATTTTACAGATGTCCACATTTACGAAAGATTTCTTTAAAGGAATGTGATCAGTTGATGTCTCCTGGACAGTTTGTGTTATGGAGGAGATTGGGAGTTAGTATTACAGCTCTATGTTTAGAATCTTGTCATAATGTATCAGACCAAGTTGTTAAAGTAAGTAAGAATCATAAAAATTAAGTAAATGCAAATGGAAGATCAAGAATCATACACTACATGTAGTACCAGTATTATATAAGTTTGTTCTATTTAATGAATTTGAAATTGAATATGTTAAAATAAACTCTTTAAAACATGTTAATAATGATGAATAACTTTACATAATAGTAACGCAAGTACACATGTAATTGGTGAAGAGAGGGAAACAAAGAAACAAAGAAACTGAATTTTTTTATGTGAAAATATGCAGCAAGAGACCATTTTGATTTTTTGGTTGAAAATTGAAATTGTTCTAATAAATGGATCATGAATCTAAATATGACTGTGATCATAGTACAGATAATATTTAAGACTTGTTTTTTTTTTCTAGAGTGCTCTACGACATATACCTACGTTACAACATTTAAATGTTTCTAGTTGTGACAGCCTAACAGAAACTGTCTTCCTTCTAAATGAGGATCTCCAGAAAGAAAGAGAATTCACACCATCAGTAAGAGTATTTTAGTTGGACTGATGGTAGAAATGATCTTAGCAAAATAGATTCTATAAGTGTATATTTGTATAAACAAAGCCGAAATAGTGATTAATTATTTGTTTAGATTGTCATATTAAATTTTTTAAATAACTATTCCCCTCCCACAATTGTTTTTTAAAATTTTAATTACAATTAGTTAGTGTACTGTTAGAAGCAGTTATATATATGTTTGCTATAAATATGATTTTTTTTTTGGTAAATCGAATTCTTAATATCCATTTCTGTCTAATATTCCATAACTTTTGGCCAATTGTTGTAGCAATGTTATTAAATTTGTATGAAAAGATTTAAAAAATTAAATGATAAATTGTTGTGTTTTTTTACAGCGTGATACAAGCCATCATTATGAGTGTTCATTGATAAGTGTTGATGTGTCTGGTTGTCGTGGAATCACAGCTACAGCAGTAAGACATCTGACATCACTTACTGGACCTACTTTAAAGAATGTCAACTTATCCTGGACATCTGTATGTACAAAATGTATTCCAATAAACTTCTCAACTTATGTTATATATATACTGTAAATTCAGAAATTATTGCTAGGTTTTTATTAATGCGAATAATGCGACTGGGTGACTTTTGCAATAATAAGAACTCGCATTCTGATGTCTGTAACATATAGCTGTATGCAGATTTTCATGATATCGCAATAGTTAATCTTGCATTTTTGTCCATTCTTGAAAAATCGCAATAATAAATGCATGCAATAATTTCTGAATTTACAGTATGCAAATTGTGTTCATAAAAAAAGAAATGTGATCTTGCTAGCTCTATAGTATTACATAAAGGAAAAATCAATGAATACACTGTAACAATATAGTATTCTGTAAACATGGAAATTTTCATGCAGGGGTTAATTAAGTTTACTTATTTCACAAATAATGGAAAATGCGCAAAAATAATCGACATGCAAAAAGTTTGTACAAATCAACAAAACTGATGTGAAGGGCAAATTTATCCTTCAATTTAAAATTTAACCCCACACGAAAAGTTTGGCATTGTATTCACAAAAAATTACAACCCTCAAAATATCCACCTTAACATTAATTGCCAGTGAGACAATCCACCAAAACTTGAAAGGTCGAGAATGGGGAATTTCTACACTTCAACAGGTCACCATACAGCCTTCAACAAGAGGCAAATTTATAAAAAAAAATTTTTTTTTACATAAGCAGATTTTTATGGCCCTGCAACAAAGTTGTCGGGGCCATATAGTTTTACCCTTTTCGTCATTCCGTCATTCCGCAACAAACCATTATTCACAATTTAATTCAAAACGCCTTCAGATATTGAGCTGATTTTTGTTATGTGAGTTAACCATGATGAGTTACAGATCAAGTTTAAGTTTCCTTCTGCTCTGCTAATTTTTGCCGAAATTACACGCTTTGGACTTTGATAAATTGTTGAAAATCACAGTTATACGGATTTATTTTCTATACGCCTTTAGATATGGGGCTGATTGTTTGGTATGTGAGTTAACCATGATGAGTTACAGATCAAGTTTAAGTTTCGTTCCACTTTGCTAATTTTTGCCGAACTCCTGACTTTTTTTCTATACGCCTTCAGATTTTGCACTGATTTTTGATATGCGAGTCTACCATGATTAGTTACAAATCAAGTTTATGTTTCGTTCTGCTATGATGATTTTCATGTCGTTTCAACACATCTTGTTAGATCTGCAGTACATCCACTTCCTGTTTGCTGATAGTTTAAAATTTAACTTCTCCTTGATCAAGGAAATTTTTCATCAAACTAGTATTGGTCTTGAGAGCTGGATACTATCCATGCATGTTTGTGTCCACATGTGTTGTTGAAATTGCAGATTTTTCAACTTTTTGAGAAGGGGCCATTCGTGTCATTCCAACACATCTAGTTTTGTACTACTATTTACATTTTATGTAGTTAAAAATTTATTGTAAAAACCCTGCATACCCATGGTAACAGGAGTATCACCTTTAGGGATTCCAATTTTGTTGAACACTTTAATTTTCATTTAACCTGTACTCATTATTGATGAAAATATGCAGCCCTGAGTAATAATAAATTTACAGTACATATATTTTATTTTAAGATTAACCTGATAGCAATACTAAGTTTGGCAGGGTATTCATTACCTGCCATGATAGAACTTGTTTTATCTTTCTACAACAAAGCTGGAAGTCAGAAGGATCCAAAGAATGATGAACTGTATCAATGTTTAATGGAATTCAAAACTACATTGGAAAAGGTAGATCAACAACAGGAAAAGAAAGAAACTGATCATGTGACAAGTGGATGTAAAGATGCTTCAGATGCAGGTGGAGCTGCTGATATAAGAAGTGTCTTGCATATACCAGTAAATAGTATAACAACTGATTTAGATGATCATGTAGAAATTGTAATGTCCACTAGTGAACATGAATCAATAGTTTTAGCAGGAACCAAAACATGCACAATGGGTGATAGATCTACTGAATATAAAAATCCTGAGAATACTACTAATGATCTTTATAAAACAGATGGAAATTCTTCGATTTCTTCTATTGCTCAGGACTTTGTAGACCCTTATATACAAAAAATTAAAGAATCATGTTTTTCAAATCAAGTATCAACTGACAGCATTAATGCCAAAGATTTATTGAACCGTTCCAAATTCTCTGAAGCATCAGAATGTGTTCACCCTGATAATGTTGAAATAGATTTTGTTGAATCTCCTGAGGATCTTGGTTCTGATTCAACAAATTTTAGCAAAACCAAAGGTACAGATATATGTTTTACAAATGAATCAATAAACAATGTAGATGCTTGTTGCCATGGTTGTTGTGGAATTGGAATTCGTGATGGTGCTAACTTCCAGTGTCAAACAGATGATGTTTGTGTGCCAAATTCAGATATATTTATGAAAACTGGTTCAAAGCAGGAACTTGATGCTACATCCATAAACTTTGATCAAAATAAACTTGGTTCTTCCAGCAAAACATTTCAAGAAAATATTGAAACGTTAAACAATAAAACAGACAGCATTCAACTTTCTGATCTCCATTCAAATGGAACTTCCTTTCAAATAAGTGAACACAATAATGCAAGGTATGGTGCAGGAAATGATTTAATATGCCAAAAATGTGAACAATTAAGACTTGCCTGTGATAGCAGTTCTGTACTCTGCAATGGACATTTAGCAATAAGTGAAAGCGAGGGAAACATATGTGATCATAAAAACTGTAAGGTAGAAGTAAAAGGTGAAGGACAAATATATAATCATTCAAATGGAAAAGTAGGTGGAGATAATCAAGCTATAGCATTTACTGATTGTGTAGAAAATGTAACATTAAACAATGATTGTACACTCAAAAGCTGTGATGTTACCCATGGAAATGACACATTTTTACAAAACATCAAAGAAAATGGAAGTATTGATGTCAAAGACAGGAAACCTTTAGATGAAAATCAGAAAATCAAAGAAAATGAAAATATTGATGGCAAAGACATCAAACTATTAGATGACAATCTGAAAATCAAAGAAAATGGAAATGTTGAGGAAGACAGTAGGACTTTAGAGGAGAATCAGACAGACAAATCAAATACACCAAAAGTTAATAGTGAAATTATAAAACAGACTTACAAACCACAGCTAGTTTCTGTGGATGTTACCAACAAATTTACTTCAGTCTATGAATCTGTTGGATTTGACTGTTTGAAAGAATTTTTACAGTGCTCTCCAAACTTACAGAAGTTTGGTATGTCCTGGGCTGGACTGACAGATGAAATGGTCAAGGACTTGACTCCATTCTTGAAAGATCTGAAAGAGATTAGTCTAACTGATTGTGAATCTGTGACCTTTGGTATCACTCATATTGGGCATACATGTAAAAATCTTAAAAAGGTTGACTTTAATGGTAATTGTATATCTTAAACATATATTTCTGTAACATTTTTAGTTGAATACATTTTGTGGAAAAAGGGGTGCCTATTTTTTTTTAGGAAAAACCAACCTTTTCTTGTGATTGTCATCCTATATTATAATAAAAATGTTTTACCTGAGTCATAAGAGATAAAATCACATGACACACTTATAAGTTTTTATCAAAAATGAAAATCTGCTAATTTTACTTATAAGTTGTGGGAAATCCTATTAATGTCTAAATTAGACAGACTAAAATAGTATTCTGTTATATAGGTATATTCCGGACCTCAAAAACAACCCAGAAGACCCAATGCAGTTCCACATATAAATATACAGTTTACCAGGTTCAAGGAAAAGTTGTTGTTTATGATATAATTATCAAATGAATTACTGAAAAAATAACAATTATCATACAAGCAATTTATCTTTATTTTTAATTTTTGCTTGAAGATCATGATCAAGGAAAGCGCAGACCTTTGGTTGTTTATTGTAAATAAAATGTTGGGTTTTTTTTTAATTAAAACAATAATTAGACGGACAGTATTTTTTACAGTTTTAAAACTGTAGTATCCTTTTATTTATTTATGCTATAATATAATTACAGGGATTCATTTTATAAAAGACATGTTCCTCAGACCATTCCTGCTGAGTCCAGATTTACAGAATTTATACCTAGCAGAATCTGACATTTCAGATGGAACATTATTTAGATTAGCTGCCAGGAAAATGGATAAGGTAAATTTTGTAACATTAATTTATAAAGAGAAAGTCAAAGTAAAGTTAATAGTTATCCCAATGAAATCTGCCTTAACCATTGATATTTAATGGTTCAGCATTCATCAACCGAACATGCTGAAATGGCATTAGTGTAATCAGTAAAATATTTGATAAGATTTCAGCATGAATTAAATGATTGTTGACAGTGTGTTGTTAGTTGCAAAATTGCTTTTTCTGTATAAAAAGTAAAGAAGTTGAGTTCCTACTGAAGGGAATTGAGACTGATATTGTTATCTTTTATTGAACTAGTTGATCAATTCATGGAGCTACTACTATAGACTTACTTATGGGAGTTTTTAACGACCTTGACTGGCTATCAAGCCCTTGCACAGTCGGTACTATAGACTCAGGGATATTTGCAGGCTTTATAATCATGATTGTTGAACAATGGGCAAAAATATAAAACTAAATCTTGCAATTTCAGAAAATGTTGTACACAAATAATGTTTTTAAAATTTAAAAATTCAAGTTTTTATTTTTGAAACCCCTACATAACCTATCCAGTAGATATGTTTGCAATAATAAAAACATCCAAAAAAAATTCTGGATTTACAGTACATGTACTTTATGCCTTGGTCACATCATTCATAATTTAAAACTGAAGCTAAATGATCCAAACTATTTCTATGATACTCTTTCCAAAATTATCTTGTTTTCGAAGATTGTGTTATTATTTTTTCTTATAGTCCAGCAACTGATCTGGAAATATATAAGTTTGAATCATTTCCTTTGGAAGAAAGACACAATGAAACAATTTTGTCTGACTATTTTCTCTAACACAAACATGCTCCTATCATGCTTATTACAATGTAGTTAAACTATATCAGTAATAAGACAATAGCCATGCACTTCACCTTTTACAGAAAATGGACACATGAATTGTGCTATTCTAAACACCTGACATCAATCAATCTTTTTTTAAGGGTCTTTTGGTAGTGAAGTTGTTTACAACTACAATGTTAAAAATTTTAATCAGAGAACTTATAAAAATAATATTTTTTTTCTATGAAAAAAATAACAGAAATGATGTTAACATCTACACATGTCACTTGTGTGTGTGTGCATTCACGAATTTGTGAGACTTGATAATACATTAGAAAATTTGGAAATAAATATGTATTCATGTATTCATTTGATATTGTCTTTATGTTTTAGTTTGAGGAATTAGATTTATCTTGGTGTGATGAAGTAACAGTTCAAGGACTAAATGCATTATGTCGAAAACCTAGTCCTCTGAAGAAGCTGTCTTTCAGACATTGTCCTGCTACATCAATGACCTTGGCCTTGATGGCAGAAAACTTTAAACAGCTGCAGAATCTAAATATCTGCAGTGTAGATAGTATAACTGATTCATCTGTAGTTTATCTGGCTGAAAATTTACCTCTTCTTCAGGAAATTGACATAAGCTGGAATTCAGGTAATAATTGATATAAAAATGAGGTGGATTCAAAACTCACGAGTGGAAGAGAGACTGACAGAATCATTGCAAAAATGTTTTGATTTTTCCTTTACTATGAGGTAATTGCATTTTTCTGGTTTCATTGGAGTAAAACTTTAGAATTAGCCACTGAGTTAAGATTGTTCCCTTATAACTAATTAAATTGTAAGTATTATAATAAATATGGCATCTTAAAATAGTAAGAAAAATTCTTTGGAATGTATTTAATATTTTTTCAAATGAGTGATTATTATATCTTCGTATTTGAATTTGAAGGTTTTTACAGTGTAACAATATTTTTAAAATATTATGCTTCATTTTGTAGGGTTGTCCTATTAGTTCTATGAAGTGCTTCCATGTTTTATTCATAATTAGTGTTATCAGTGCTAGTTGCATCCTTAACAGAAGTATAAAAATTGGAACAATCTTCTTTTGTTATGTTAGAATATGTAATATGCTTTTTTGAAGCATCAACTTTTATGCCACATTGTGATTTGATTTACAGGGGTTTTGTTTTGTCTTTATACAATCTTTGTGTTAAATTGAGTGTAAAGTTTTGATATGTATTAGACTTATAAGCCTTTGAGAGTTCATAAGTATTCAAATATTAAATCATGAGGGAAACCAAGAGGAAAGAGGTATTGGTTTCATTTTCTATTAAATGACTATATTTCTTTGTATTTGTATTGTTTGATAGTCAGTTTCAACTGTACATTCATGACTTGTTTTTGTATTATTAAATATGGAATTTTAGTTGCACAAACATAATAAATTTTATTCTTGTTCTTGAAAAAGGATATAAATGTACTAGTTATTTTTCATGTTATATTCCAGGTTTGTCAGATGTCTGTGTTAAAGCTCTGTTGAGATCCTGTATTCACTTAAAGAAAGCTGTGCTGTCTGGGATAAAGTTCCTGACATCAGCACCATTCTTACCCATTATATCAGGTATTGCATTATATCATTCTGTAAGAGTGTGATATATTACTTACATCAGATATCTTTTATACAATGTTGTCAAAACTATGAATTTTACATTTTACCTTACTGACAATAAAACCAATCTGAATAAAAAGAGATGTAAGATATATGTCAATGAGACAGTTACCCAACAACAAAGATAACCAAATGACATCTAGAGGGCAATGTGAAATCTTCAACAACAGACCATTGTATGTACAGTATGTCAAGCTCTAAATCGTATTGAGTCTATAAAAGTTGTGAATAGATTGAACAGGAACAAAGATTCCTTTCAAGTTTCAGTCATATAGTACATGGTCAAAATGTGTTTTGCCAGTTGAATAGCTTGTATTCATTATACACAAATATTGACTTTCTCAATGAGTGTCTAGTTGGAGTGAGTATTTTTAAAATTGATCACTGCTTCCGTAGAAAAACCGATTTTTTTCCAACAGAGTTACTAGATCAGAATTTTAATATTTGAAGCCAGTTTAATCATTTAGATATAATGTCATTGTATTTTTCTTCATCAATTTTTTTCTGTTCAAGACTTACAAAAGTTCAGAAGATGTCAAGCTCTATTGAGGTTTAAACTGCAAGAAAGAAAAATTCTGACTGAAAATGGAGATGAACATTACTCAAGTGATGAAGTAGGTATTGTCATGAAAAGTAATGAACTTTAAAACTGTTATTGTATTGCTAAGTTGATCATTATAAAAATAAGGAGATGTGTTATGACTGCCAATGAGACAACTATCCACCAAAGATCAAATGAAGTGGATGTAAGCAATTATGGGCAACTGTATGTTGATATTTCTGATAACCATTGACTATAGCATTAACTTTTGAAAAGTTTTGACAAAGTACAATAATATCAAGCATTATTCAATACATTTATTTAGCAAATATGTGAGTATTTTTTTCGTGGGTTATACAACCATAAAATGACAACAATATCATCAAATTACACAACACAACATTATGACGAATACATACCAAGAATTAAAGAACCTTTGTGAGCATGCTCACACACCCCATGCGGCCTTATTTATAACAAAACAATTTACAAAAAAACAAAAATAACAGACATGAACCAACGACAACCACTGAACTACAGTCTCCTGACCTGGGACAATAGTATTTTTAGGCCAAAATTCTAAGTTCAAAGGGGTATAACTCCTAGAAAAACAAATTGAATCATAATTTCCTGTCGATATGCACATCTACATAGTGTGTCCTTGCTATCTCCAAAGTTTCATGAAATTATGTTGTGTGGTTTCAGAGGAGTTACGATGACAAGAAGCACAATTTCACAAAAAGCAGTATTTACATAGGAAGTAAACTTCATAATTATCTAGTAAAAAAAATTCTTTAGGCGACGATTGCATTCCATTTTATTCAGGCAAAACATTAAAAAAATAGCCTTTTTGTGTGAAAATCTAGCAACTTTCCCTACAGACCTTACTGAAATGAGGTCAAGGTCAAAAACAGACTTTAAGCCTTACAAGTTTCTACAGTCTTTATCATGAAGTATTAAAAATAATGTAAATCATGAAAATCTAAAAAAAACAGTTATATTTTCAGTAAATTCATAGAGAGCAAAAGCCAAAATATACCCTGCCCTTTGTAAACAAATTTAAAATACTCCTTTTAAGGTATTTTCATGCACCTTCCTGTATTATTGGGTTTTTATTTTTAAGGAATATGAAGAACTTTGTGTTCCCTATAGATCAACAACATATGCCCCAAATCTGCAGATCTTAGAGTTGGAGTACTGTGATTGTGTAGATGACAACCATTTAGCAGAGATTGTGGCTGTATGTCGAGGTTCATTGTATATCGTGGACTATTTTAGAGAGGCTATTAAACCTGTGATGATACATGCTCAGAAAGGGAAAGTTTACCTCCCTCCACATTTTAAACCCAGTTAAAATTTTGATAAATGATGTGCGATTATCTTATTTGAATATTTGAAACCCTAAGGCTGTGATATCCATGCTCAAAATTGATTTTATTATTTACTAATATAAGTTATACAAGTATATCAACTTTATGATTAAAGATTGTACTGAACTTTCACTTTGCATTGTTTTCAGTAGTTTTTGGTCTCACCTGCTACATATGTCTAAACATAGGGATGCTAATCTGGTGATGTCAGGCATAATCCATTTGCAAAGCTTTCTATTCCAGATGCTAGCAGACCTGGATACTTAATATCTTGTATACAAATTCTGTACATAACAAAGTTTCAGTCTGGCATATGTCCTTTGTCCTTGCCTTAATTTTAATGGTTCAGCAACTGTTTAAAAAACTTTTATATTTTTTAATCACCTTATTTTCTCACTTATTATTACAAAATTACTATATTAGGTATAAAGAATCATTGCAAAGTGTACATGTCCTTCAGGTAGGGTTCACGACACCTTGACCTCATTTCATGGATCAGTGATCAAGGTTAAGTTTTCATGGTCAAATCCCTCTCAGATACTCAGATATATATGTCAACTATATTTGGTCACCATTTTGGTGTATTGAATGATTGTAAGGTGTATATGAACATCTAGCAGGGTTCATCTGACCATGAAGTCATTTTAATGATTCATTGGTCAACATTAAGTTTAGTGGCAAGGTCTGTTTCTCAGATATATTTTAATCTTAAGCAATAGGCCAACATACATTTGTTCGTGCTAAGGTCTCTTTCCAAGATACTATAAGGAAAGGTCAATTATATTTGGTATATCCTCAGTAGGACATTTATCTTTAAAGACTTTCAAAACAAAATTTCCTGAAGGGATACATATGGTTTATTCAAACACCCCAAGAAAATGTATAATGGGGTATGGTTCAATGTTTATCCATATCCACAGTATACATTTCAAAGTTCACACTAACAAATATACAATGACTTTTTTCCTCAATCATCAGTGGTCTTAACTGACACAGATATTATGATAATACTCAAAGTACAAGGGATCCAAAACTCTACGGTTTCATGTTTCTGTTAAATCAAAGGTAGACTTTAAAAGAATTTGTACCCACAATATATACTGAGCAGTTTTTGTCGAGCCTGCGACTTTTGTCGCAGAAAGCTCGACATAGGGATAGCGATCCGGCGGCGGCGGCGGCGGCGTTAGCTAACTTCTTAAAAGCTTTATATTTTAGAAGATGGAAGACCTGGATGCTTCATACTTTGTATATGGATGCCTCATGTTACGAAGTTTCCGTCAGTCACATGTCCAATGTCCTTGACCTCATTTTCATGGTTCAGTGACTACTTGAAAAAAAAGTTCAGATTTTTTGTAATGTTAAATTCTCTCTTATTATAAGTAATAGGATAACTATATTTGGTATGTGCGTACCTTGCAAGGTCCTCATGCCCGTCAGACAGTTTTCACTTGACCTCGACCTCATTTCATGGATCAGTGAACAAGGTTAAGTTTTCGTGGTCAAGTCCATATCTCAGATACTATAAGCAATAGGTCTAGTATATTCGGTGTATGGAAGGACTGTAAGGTGTACATGTCCAACTGGCAGGTGTCATCTGACCTTGACCTCATTTTCATGGTTCAGTGGTTATAGTTAAGTTTTTGTGTTTTGGTCTGTTTTTCTTATACTGTATGCAATAGGTCTACTATATTTGGTGTATGGAATGATTGTAAGGTGTACATGTCTAGCTGGCAGGTGTCATCTGACCTTGACCTCATTTTCATGGTTCAGTGGTCAAAGTTAAGTTTTTGAGTTTTGGTCTTTTTTTCTAATACTGCATGCAATAGGTCAGCTATATTTGGTGTATGGAATGATTGTAAGGTGTACATGTCTAGCTGGCAGGTGTCATCTTACCTTGACCTCATTTTCATGGTTCAGTGGTCAAAGTTAAGTTTTTGAGTTTTGGTCTTTTTTTCTAATACTATATGCAATAGTTCAACTATATTTGGTGTATGGAAATATTTTATGATCTATATGTCAGTCACGCAGGTTTTATTTGACCTTGACCTCATTTTCAAGGTTCATTGCTCAGTGTTAAGTTTTTGTGTTTTGGTCTGTTTTTCTTAAACTATAAGCAATAGGTCAACTATATTTGTTGTATGGAAGAATTGTTAGCTGTACATGCCTGCCTAGCATGGTTCATCTGACCTTGACCTCATTTTCATGGTTCATTGGTCAATGTTTAGTTTACTTGGTTAATGTTAAGTTTATGTGACAGTTGTAATAAAGCTTTATATTTAGGACTATCAACATAATATCAATGATTAGTAAAGAAGGCGAGACATTTCAGCGTGTGCACTCTTGTCTGTACTACAAGGGGGAATAACTCTGACAATATTTTGATAATCATGAAATAAAATATGCACTTTTTTGTTGAGTGGTAAACAAGAATCATTCCCATCTATGGAGGACAATTGAAAATTTCAATTAATAATAAATTTGTCTGGCTAGAAATAATGCAGTTTTTATAAGATTTTTAAACTGAAAAGAGAGGATACGATGTATGGCTTTACAGCCTGTAAATTGTTGATATTGCATTCTTCACTGCAAGTTGTAATGTGATCAAAAGCTAGCAAAACTCCATGCAAACTAGTGGTAGGGGCCATCTTGAAATTGCAGTGGGGCATGTGTATTATCTTAGCTCCATAATAATACCTCTTTGTTGTGTTAAGATGAACAACAGCTTTTTGTCTGTGTGTATCTCGATTTGTGTCACGAATAAATTCATTCTTGAAAATATTAACAAATATTAGTAATTGAATAATTGGACAAGACCAATACCCTGTCTGGAACAGCATCCACATGGTGCAGTTTTAAAGAACCAACTTCATTGCAATAAAGTTTTGAAAAGTCTCAAGCGAAAAAATTGTTCATTGTCATACCTGTCCGAAATAGGTGCACATCTTTAATCCTTGTGCAAATTTTAAATTGTGTCAATGGAAAACTGCTGGAGTTAAAAGAAAACAAATTCTAAGTTCCCTCTATAGCAGTCAATGACAAATACGACAAAAAAAATTACAGACACACTTATTATGTTTTTGCTTTGTGTGTGTAATGTTTTTGTATTGACATTTAATAAATGTTTCTGTGAGCTTTTAATGTGCTTTTTTGTGCTTCATACATAATTTGCATATCTTAAATTTGCTTTGAATTTTATTTGTACGTGCTTTTGGGTTTTAAATACATGCTTTCTATGATTTGAATTAATGTATGTGTTGCAGTCTTCTTTAATTAATTGTATGAATGTGTTTGTTTGTTTTAAAGCTAAATGCAATCATCATAGTTCTACTATATTTATCTTGCTAACTTTAAATGAAGCTTATTTATTTGATCCATAAAAAATGTACATCTGCAATCTTTGTGTAATCAATGTTGAAGAGACGTTGGAGTAAGTTTCAAATAATACAAACTGGGTTGCTCTATGTGTTACAGACAGAATAATGGACCAAGTCAAGTGGTACCTAGACCTGCTCTTGACTCTGAAGACGCAGGTAATAAAGACAATATGAAGGGTCATTCATTTGTGAAAAATAATGCAACCAAATCTGGAAAAAATAAGTGAATCAGATCTTTATTTTTCTTCAATTCTGTCCTTCTTTCTATTGCACCTACTAGAAAAGCACAATCTGACAACAGCTAAATACAATTTGCAATGGCAAACACTGCACATAATTCAACACTGATTGTGATGACAAAATAGAAACTGCTGAGATGTATGATCAAGTCTTATGTTTATCATCTAATTAATTTGGGTTTTTTGTCTGGAGGTGGTTTTATAGAAGTATTTGACTTGTCATCTGGTCTCTCTTGTTTTATCTCTTGTTTGATAACTGGTTCCTGTTTTACTGGTTCTTCTATAAAAAAATAAGTAAAAAAATTAAATCCATGTTTATAAACAACTACACAAAAGAAATTTACCAGTATTGCTATAACATAGTTTTTATGAAATTTATGGCACACTATAAAATAAAAACACTAGGATGATTTCAAAGCTCAAGGCTATGCAAGCAATTAATTATATATAAGATCCCTGACAATTCACTTTAACATACATATAACGAGTGGTTCAATGCAATGCAATAGAAAAATCTGTTTCTGTAATGACTTCAGTTTATTTATGGTCAAATACTGTTTCTGATTTATGGAAAAAAACTAGTATTGTAGTGTTTTGAGTGTTTTTGAATTCATAGCACATTACACATTTCAAATCAATTAAAAACAAGCATTGTATGTCATATTAGTTTGTATACTTAGACTGGTTTCCTTATTTGTGGTTTCTTTTTCTCTTTAGAAAATCTAAAGATTATCATCAAAATGTTTCAATATGCAAATAATGTGTTACCTTTAACTTCTGGCTGTATTGGTGGAACAACTTTAGGTGGAAATTTCCTGGCAAGTTCTCCAAGTAATAAATCAACTCTCTGTCTTTGGAAAACTGAGCTAGGTTCTTCCTTCTTTTCTTTAGAATCACTTTTCTCTAAAAGCATATATTAAATATAATATTGTCTGAAAAATATTAACATATATATGTATTTTCATATTGAATCAGTAAAAATAAAACTCATCTAACACCATGTAGAATATTCAGTAGATAAACTAGGTTTTTGTGTTGATATCACATTGATGAATATCCAATATCTTTTATTCATAAAAATTCATAAGGGTTCCGCGGAAACCCAGTGTCTCGCCTACTTTTACTGCTAGTCACAGGCTCAACAAAAATGGGGAAAAAATTATTAAAAATTTTCCTATAGATACTATCTTTTGATTGAGAAGAAGCTTCTGTCCAAGTTTGGTAAAAATCCAGAATGGTTTATGAATCTAATACATGTTTTAAAAACTTTAACTACCGACTATGTAATGTTAATTGGAAGAAAAACTAAGTCCATTTATAAGTTATATACGGAAAAACAGGAAATAAATTTTACAAAATTTCCTTCTAGATACTAGCTTTTGATCATAAACAAGCTTCTGTCCAAGTTTGGTACAAATCCAGGATAGTTTAAGAAAGTTATTAAAATTTGTAAAACTTTAACCACAGAGTGAATGTAATGTTAACTGGCAGAAAAACTAAGTCCATTTATAAGTAAAATACGGATAAATAGGATTTTTTTTTACAAAATTTTCTTCTGGATACTATCTTATGATCATAAACAAGCTTCTGTCCAAGTTTGGTAGAAATCCAGGATAGTTTACGAAAGTTATTAAAATTTTAAAAACTTTAACCACAGAGTGAATATTTGTGGACGCCGCCTCAGACGGAATGTAGAATCGCTATGTCTCGCTTTTGCGACAAAAGTCGCAGGCTCGACAAAAATGATAGATGATGCTGCTTCTGGAAATTATTTACCTTCATTTTAATAAAAGATTCCCGAGGTCATTAGGAAGTTGACAATTATAGGAAGAAATAAAAAATATAATGCAGTTGTATTAATTTATGTTACATATTTAGGACTAGTGGTAGGTGAAGATCCAATAGTAGTCATACAAGAAGTGTGGGTTAGAAATTATTCTTTGTCACAAACAGTCTAAAACTTTTCTTTTGAAATTCATTCATTCTTTATATCGAAAAAGTCTGTGAAATCATTGTACCTTGAGACAAACAAAAATACAATGTTGGTTATTCACCATTAAACCAACATTATTGGAAAATCCACTTGACTAGTAAAAGTAAATTGTGAAAAGTCCCTTCCCAAATTTTAAGGTTGGGATTATTGACCCCCACATTATTTAAATCCTTGTTAATAATATACATACCTGATTTATCTTCTTGGTCTGAGAACTCCCACCAATACCCTTTTGATGGTGTATATCTTGAAAATGACTGTGCTACAATTAATTGAATAAAGAATGGTTATTACTTTATATCAAGTGCATATCAAACATTTCTGTACATTTCATGTTTGAAATGACATTTGTTTGAAATATTTAGTTAAACCCCACATTGATTTATACAAAAAGTTCAATAAAATTGATTTTTACAGTGTGTTCTTAATATGTTACGTTGTTATATCACTGTCAGGTACGGGGGAGGGTCGAGTACTCACAATTATGCATGGTTAACCCCACCACATTCTTTATGTGCCTGTCCCAAGTCAGGAGCTTGCAACTCAGTGGTTGTCTTTTGTTGCTGTATGCCATATTTGTTTTTTGTTTATTGTTTTAGCATATAACGGGCTGTTGATATCTTCTCTGAATTGTTTCACATTTTGTTATGATTATCATTAAGCTCTGGGGGCCTTGGTGGCTGAGTGGTTTTGGTCGTCGAACTACTGTATCACTAGCCTGTCAACACTGAGGTTGTGAGTTTGAATCCCCCATGTGGCAGGTGCACTCGACTCTTATCTTAATTGACTAGGATTGTAAGTTTAAGCTCTGATTCATTGTTCCTGAAAAAAATGTGACAATTATTTCATCCATATTCAGGACCATATGGCCATGTGTAAGAATATACATATATGTGTATATGTGTCCATATGATAGAGTGATGAAGTTGATAAGCAATCATGGATGTGAAAATGGATCACACAGTATAGCATGCTCATCTGAAGTGAGATTTCTGGAAGCTCTGATTCTTAGTTACTGAGCAAAATGTAATAAACATTTCATGGCCATTGTGTGTAAAGAAGAAGAAGAATATATATAAGAATATATAAGCATTTGGTAAACAGGAAGATGATGGATGAATGTGAAAACACAGTTCATGTATACAGCATGCTCACAGGAAGCTCTGATTTGTAGTTCCTTAAAAAATGTGACTAGAATTTCATTTGACTAACAAATGAACAGTCACACAAGTGGACAGAGGTAAATCACTATCCCCCTCTGTCACTGTCAGAGCGGTTATAAAACTCTATCTATAGTGAACAGTTCAGAATACATCTCTACATACCTTCTACAAATGCTGATTGCAAATTAAACAGAGTATTTAGCTGAAAGTAAAAAAAAAAATGAATGAACAAGCATCATCAATTTTAGATTGAAGATAGCCATTCCATATTCAAGTTTTCTCTGTAAATTAAATACATATACAATGTTCACTCTAGTAGATTTTCTATAGGCTTGTATGCAGACCTTGACAATACCATAAAATCAAATATCCACGAAAATTTAAGTTTTCCCAATCCACGAAAAAAAATGAATCCACAGTATTCCTTAAAACCCAGTGTCTTATTATCTTTTTGGCTACAGACATATATTTTCATCTATACATTTTCTATGTTGACAAAGCAAACAAATGCGTTGAATTCTGAATATTTTTTAAAAGATTCTCTTCCCTTTTAGGTTTTATTATTGGAATGCATTCCCCAAAAGATAGAAAAAGTTGTGAATTTGAAATATAAAGATGACTTTGAATTCAAAATTGTATGTAAAAGTCTCTTCCAGTATTTCTAAAAGTGATTCTTGACAAAGATGTTTTGAGTCGAAAACTCAGTTGCAGACTACTAACTCTGACATTTTTCAGAGTACCAGCTCTCTTTCATTTGTCAAATTTTCAACTTACCAATCTAGAATTAATAACAGATCCTAAATCAGGTGCTTGGTATACCACTCCAGCTATGATATAGTAATCTGCTAAGGGTGTCACTGAAAGATTCAATAATCACATCAAAGGCAATGTGACAGAAACTGATTTTAGAATTTGGATTCAAAAATATTTTGATCCAAAATGTTAGAGGCAGTGTTTTCATTTTGATATAAAAAATATAGATCTGACAAAAAAAAAATGTGTGTATAACATAAAAGTGTGTTAACAGAACTTCTATAAACTAGCATGTCTTCCACAAAAACAAATAAAAAATATAAAATTTTTATTGACAATCAAGATGCCCAGAATAGAGCTGTACAACCAATACATATGTTTTTTAAAAGTCAGCATAATGATAATTGATAATCAGAATTTAATACACAATTGCTGTCCACATATATAAACCAGTGGTTCCTTTGGTATAAAAATGTATCCTTCAAATTGCCTTTTTTTATTGGTAGCAATATTTCATTGGCACCAAAATTATATCTGCCATCTGATTAATTCTGAGGAGGCTAAATGACACAGTGGTCTAAGTAATTAATCACTAGTCTGACAACTCTGAGATGTGTTAGTCTGGTTGACTAAGATCATTTTTGACAATTTTCCTGCCTAGATGTGTATTCTTTCAAAGTACGGGTACTCCTGCTTTCTCCACCAATAAAAACTGGTTGTCAGGATATAAGTTCATATAGCCAATGTAGCTGAAAGTGGTATACAATAAAAAAAAAAAAAACTTCTTTCTGATTATCTCTAAAAAAAAATAAAAATCAAAAATTTCCATGGACAACCATTTAACACTAAACAAGTGTGTCCACAGATCTGCATGTTTTCATGCTGCTAAATATGTCAAAGAGGAAGTAATATGTAAGTGTTCTACACAGGATCTGAAGTAAAACTATGTTTTGGATTATCAGCCATCCTGGATTTCAACTGACACAAGAATCACTGTATTCTAACCTTATTGTAAAATTAGTTCTTGTCATCCATCAAGTGGACACTCACTCCTGTTATGTTTGGTCATTGTTGTTTCTACTTTTTATAAGCAGTAAACATACAGCACCAATGACTTTTGATTTATTTGTGTGGATGTGTAGCTATCTCATTAGTACACCACATACTTCCTTCATTCAGAACAATGACACAGATTGTAATAACCATCAAGTCTTATAAAAGAGAGCAAATTTGAACTATGTATAAATTTATGTTAACATATTACGAGTAACTAACCTTGTTGTGGAGAATGTCTGTGTTGCTTCCTAACAACATACAAAATTGGCTCCTGTACATGTAACAACATATATTCTAATCCTGTCATATTACTGTAAATAAATATTATATTCACTTTAATAGATGCTTTATCATAGATGTACATTTATACTTGGTTTCATATATTTCAATTGTTAATATTTAAGGAACATGTAATGGAACATGTTTTCTGTTGTATACTATACAATGGTTAGTATTTTACTCAGAGCATTGTTTAGCAGGGGTTTGACCTATCATGTTATAAGATAGAAAAATAACCAATAAGTTCCATAAAACTGAATAAATTTAAAATAAAATGCTTCGCTGGGGCGCAGCTTGATACGACCGCAGAGGTCGAACCCTGAACAGTTGGGGCAAGTATGGACACAACATTCAAGCTTGATACAGCTCTGAATTTGGATTGTTATTAAATATTTGACACAGCATAGGTTTCTGACACAGAAAGAATGTGGTCTAAGAACTTGAATTTTTTTAATTTACCTATTATGGTCCAATGTCCAAAATCAAAATACATGGTTAGATTCAGCATATCAAAGAACCCCATATATTCAATTTTTGTTAAAATCAAACAAAGTTTAATTTTGGACCCCAACTTGGACAAACTTGAAAACTGGGCCCATAATCAAAAATCTAAACACATGTTTAGATTCAGCATATCAAAGAACCCCAAGAATTCAATTTTTGCTAAAATCAAACTAAGTTTAATTTTGGACCCTTTGGACCTTAATGTAGACCAATTTAAAAAACAGGACTTAAAATTAAAAATCTAAATACACGGTTAGATTTGGAATATCAAAGAACCCCAATAATTCAATTTTTGATGAAATCAAACAAAGTTTAATTTTGGACCCTTTTGACCTCAATATGAACCAATTTGATAGCGGGGCCCACAAATAAAAAATCTAAATTCATGGTTAGATTCAGCATATCAAAGAACCCCATATATTCAATTTTTGTTGAAATCAAAAAAAGTATAATTTTGGACCCCAACTTGGACCAACTTGAAAACTGGGCCCATAATCAAAAATCTAAACACATGTTTAGATTCAGCATATCAAAGAACCCCAAGAATTCAATTTTTGTTAAAATCAAACTAAGTTTAATTTTGGACCCTTTGGACCTCAATGAAGACCAATTTAAAAAACGGGACCCAAATTAAAAATCTAAAAACACGGTTAGATTTGGCATATCAAAGAACCCCAATAATTCAATTTTCGATGAAATCAAACAAAGTTTAATTTTGGACCCTTTTGACCTCAATATGAACCAATTTGATAGCGGGGCCTACAAATAAAAAATCTAAATACATGGTTTGATTCAGCATATCAAAGAACCTCATATATTCAATTTTTGTTGAAATCAAACAAAGTTTAATTTTGGACCCCAATTTGGACCAACTTGAAAACTGGGCCCATAATCAAAAATCTAAATACATGTTTAGATTCAGCATATCAAAGAACCCCATATATTCAATTTTTGTTGAAATCAAACAAAGTTTAAATACTGGACCCTATCTTGGACCAACTTGAAAACTGGGCCCATAATCAAAAATCTAAACACATGTTTAGATTCAGCATATCAAAGAACCCCAAGAATTCAATTTTTGTTAAAATCAAACTAAGTTTAATTTGGACCCTTTGGACCTCAATGTAGACCAATTTAAAAAAACAGGACCCAAAATTAAAAACCTAAATACACGGTTAGATTTGGAATATCAAAGAACCCCAATAATTCAATTTTAGATGAAATCAAACAAAGTTTAATTTTGGACCCTTTTGACCTCAATATGAACCAATTAGATAACGGGGTCCACAAATAAAAAATCTAAATACATGGTTAGATTCAGCATATCAAAGAACCCCATATATTCAATTTTTGTTGAAATCAAACAAAGTTTAATTTTGGACCCCAATTTGGACCAACTTGAAAACTGGGCCAAAAATCAAAAATCTAAATACATGTTTAGATTCAGCATATCAAAGAACCTCATATATTCAATTTTTGCTAAAATCAAACAAAGTTTAATTTTGGACCCTTTGGACATTAATGTAGACCAATTTGAAAACTGGACCCAAAATTAAAAATCTAAATACACTGTTAGATTCGGCATAACAAATAAATAAATGTGATCAAAGATTTTACAAATCTAATGCGCCATACTGTGCAATTAAAGATTACTTCTTGAAATTTTTCAATATTTGAAATTTGAAAAAAAAATAATATTTGAAGAATAATTCTTTTTAATTTCTGAAATCTGAAATGAGAAAAATTGGCCCCCCCCAATTTCTTTTTATCCCCCCCCCCTTTTTCCCCCCAAAAAATTCTTTCCCTCAAGATATGGTCATAATCTCAATTCAAATTTCCAATGGAGTTGGCAACCATAATTACCCATTTAAATTTACCATAGTGCTAACTTAATCTATTTTATAATAGAATTAATAAAAATATAGTGTCAAATCTTTCATATGGATTTTTTTGTAAAAAAAAAAGATGAAAACATTTGCAGATATTTTTACTGGTCTTCCTTTATAAATATGCATTTCTTTAAACATAATTTAAAAGCAGTGTAAGGGAAGTAACCAAAACGTTGTATTTGGATTACCTCCCTTACACTGTTTTAGATTATCTTTATTGTTCATTAACCATTACTTTATACATAATTTAAAAGCAGTGTAAGGGAGATAATTTCAATGATGTATTTGATTTATCTCCCTTACACTGCTTTAAATTATGTTTTGTACTAAAGTATTTGTCCATTGACCAGGACAACCTTGTTTTTCCCCCTTTTTTGCCCCTAATTCCTAAACGGTTTGAGCCATAACCCCCCAAAGCAAATCCTAACCATCCCTTTGTGGTATGGAAACTTGTAGTATAATTTCAGAGAGATCCATACACCGTTCCACAGTTATTGTCTGGAAACTAGAAAATGCTTATTTTTGGCCCCTTTTAGGCCCCTAATTCCTTAACTGTTGGTACCATAACCCCCAAAATCAATCCCAACCTTCCTTTTGTGGTATTTAACCTTATGGTCAAATTTCAAAAAGATCCATTCACTTAAACTAAAGTTAGAGTGCGAAAACCAATATGTATTCGGACGACGACGACGACGACGACGCCGGACGACGACGACGCCAAAGTCATACCAATATACGACCACAAAATTTTTTTGCGGCCGTATAAAAATGACCAGAACTCTAACTGCTTCTGATGATCTATTCTCAATACTGTGTGGAATGTGTAATGCTCAATTATGTGTTGTATCACTGGTATGTGTAATGCTAAATAATGTGGGGTTTGTGTAATGCTCAATAATGAGTGGTATTACTGGTATAGGGAATGCTCAACAATGAGTGGTTTGTGTAATGCTAAATAATGTGTGGTATATGTAAAAGAAATACATAAGGTCATGGTCAAGTTCTGCTTGTGCAAAGTATGTAGTTGTTTCAGTTTTTCATCACTATTCATTGTATTCCATTGACTTTTATCATTAAACCATTGACATTGAAATCAGAATATCCTATGAAAACCTAAATTTGGTCTTTGGAAATAGCAAAACAGTGGATTCTGGTATATTTTGAACAATATTTTAAGTAAGGTAATTTTTTTTAAAAAAGGTACCAGTGCAAAATTTATTTGACACTTTGATAGCCAATGAGCTGTTTCCATTTTTTTCCTACAGTATACATGTACCACTGCATGACAACATAAAGCTGCAAATTTTACAAATTAATAAAATGCTCCGCAGGGCGCAGCTTGATACGACCGCAGAGGTCGAACCCTGAACAGTTGGGGCAAGTATGGACACAACATTCAAGCTTGATACAGCTTTGCATTTGGATTGTGATTAAATATTTGACACAGCATAGGTTTCTGACACAGTATGAATGTGGTCTAAGAACTTAAAAATTTTAAATTGGACATTCACCTATTATGGTCCAATATCCAAAATCTAAATACATGGTTAGATTCAGCATATCAAAGAACCCCAAGAATTCAATTTTTGATGAAATCAAACAAAGTTTAATTTTTGACCCTTTTGACCTCAATGTGGACAAAGTTGATAACGGAGCCCAAAAATCAAAAATCTAAATACATGGTTAGATTCAGCATATCAAAGAACCCCATATATTCAATTTTTGTTGAAATCAAACAAAAAAAAGTTTAATTTTGGACCCCGATATGGACCAACTTGAAAACTGGGCCCATAATCAAAAATCTAAATACATGTTTAGATTCAGCATATCAAAGAACCCTAAGAATTCAATTTTTGTTAAAATCAAACTAAGTTTAATTTTGGACCCTTTGGACCTTAATGTAGACCAATTTGAAAACGGAACCAAAAATTAAGAATCTAAATACACGGTTAGATTCGGCATATCAAAGAACCCCAATAATTCAATTTTTAATGAAATCAAACAAAGTTTAATTTTGGACTCTTTGGACCTCAATGTGGACCAATTTAAAAACGGGGCCCAAAATCCAAAAACTAAATACACGGTTAGATTCAGCATATTAAAGAACCCCAAGAATTCAAGAATAAAACCCCATTGAAATTGGTCAAGAAATAAGCAATTTATACGAAGTATCTTCTTTTGCACAATACTGTGCAATTAAATATTTCTTGCTATTGCGCAATACTGTACAATTGACAATGTCTTGCTATTGCGCAATATTGTGCTATTGGATATTTCTTGCTATTGCGCAATACTGTGCAATTGAAAATTTCTTGCTATTGCGCAATACTGTGCAATTGAAGATTTCTTGCTATTGTGCAATACTGTGCAATTGAAAATTTCTTGCTATTGCACAATACTTATTATATAATAATTTACACATCCTGTTTGGTGTGTATCTCCTACCATATCATTATTATTTGCTTTTAAATATAAATCAGAAATAACCAACTTAAAATGAGAAATTTTAAAAGAAAAAAAAAAGGAAAAAAAGAAAAAAAAGGAAAAAAAAAAAAAATCCCTCCCCCCAAATTTTTTGAACCCCCTTATGATTTATCACCCCCAAACTCAATCCCAGCCTTCCCTTTGAGGTATGGTACCTTGCAGTACAATTTCAGAGAGATCCATACACTTGAACACAAGTTATTGTCTGGAAACTAGAAAAATGTGTTTTTTGGCCCCTTTTTGGCCCCAAATTCCTAAACGTTTAGGGCAGTTACCCCCAAACTCAAACTCAGCTTTCCCTTTGTGATATGGAACCTTGTAGTACAATTTCAGAAAGATCCATACACTTACACACAAGTTATTGTCCTGAAACTAGAAAAATGCTTGTTTTTTGCTCCTTTTTGGCCCCTAATTCCTAAAATATTGAGGCAATTACCCCCATCATCAATCCCAGCCTTCCCTTTGTGGTATGGTACCTTGCAGTACAATTTCAGAGAGATCCATACACTTGAACACAAGTTATTGTCTGGAAACTAGAAAAATGCTTATTTTTGGCCCCTTTTTGGCCCCCAATTCCTAAACGTTTCGGCAATTACCCCCAAACTCAATTCCAGCTTTCCCTTTGTGATATGGAACCTTGTAGTACAATTTCAGAAAGATCCATACACTTACACACAAGTTATTGTCATGAAACTAGAAAAATGCTTGTTTTTTGCCCCTTTTTTGGCCCCTAATTCCTAAAATTCTGAGGCAATTACCCCCAAAATCAATCCCAGGATTCCTTTTGTGATATGGAACCTTGTGGTACAATGTCAGAGAGATCCATACACTAACACACAAGTTATGTCTGGAAGTTACAAAAATGCTTATTTTTGGCCCGTTTTTGGCCCCTAATTCCTTTACTGTTGGTACCATAACCCCCAAAATCAATCCCAACCTTCCTTTTGTGGTACTGAACCTTGTGGTAAAATATCATAGAGATCCATTCACTTAAACTAAAGTTAGAGTGCGAAAACCAATGTGTCTTCGGACGACGACGACGACGACGACGACGACGACGACGCCAACGTCATACCAATATACAACCACAAAAATTTTTTTGCAGTCGTATAAAAAGGATATTAACTTAATTTTGCCCTTTAATTGCTTTCACAAATAATTCTGACACATACTTAACTACTGAAAAAATGCTGTTGACTTGAAGAGAATGATTATGTACTTAAACAATCTGACTTTTCAGAACCTAAGGAATAGAATCTTATTTATATTTCTTAAAAAGATTGATATAATTAAAAAAATAACATGGACTTTCATAGCCAGTTAAAAATTAATTCTTACTAAAATTTTGTGAATCATCATATAAAATACCCAAATTGACCCTATAAATGTGATCACTGATGAGTAATGATTAATCAATATCACAATAAATATAATGAGTTTTATTGGAATGATTACTTGAGTTGATCTTGGCTTAGTCTTTGCATCTTGATAATCTCATTATTGCAAGTTCTATCATAGAATGGGTTACTTCTTTCACCGAAATAATCCAGGATGTTGTTTGGATTAAGTAATGGTATCCATGCTGTATCATGCCAACTTATTCCTAATGGATTATCTGAAATTAAACAAGAACAATTGTAAAAGTCTTATTGGGTCAAAAAAATCTTCGCTTATAAACTTTGCCACATACCGGTACATGCATTTATAATTTGAAGTAAAAGAGAGGATCTATAACTACTTATCTTTGAACAGATCTGTCAGATTTACAGGAAAGATGCTTATTTTCAAACTTGAAACAATTTATTTTATACATGTCATACATGTATACATACAGTATAATACTGGGCAGTCTTTTTCTATAAAGTTACTATAAAACAGCGAAATTGTAAGATAGGAAAATTTTATGTGCATGTACATTAAGTAACCCTTAATGTGTGGGGCCATACCATTACAGCTTCCTCCCAAAATACTGTTTTTGGCTCTAATGGCCCTTCATTCTTTTGGAGGTCAACTGTATAAATGAACATGTACTTCGAAAAATTTATGTTAAAAACCTAAAAAAAGATAAGGACAGTTAAGCATTTTTATGGAGACAAAAACATTTAAAAAAATGCCCTATGGTTTTTCAATAAGAACTATAGCAATTTTACTTTAAAAATTATATATAATTTGCAAAAATCTTGTTCGCACACGTCCACATTCATCGAATTTATGTTGTTTCCTTTGAAAATTTATAATCTTTTTTTTTTGGCAATCAGATTTAACGCACGTTGCTATAGTTTACATTAAAGGAAACGCCTCAGACAGCCTGTAGGTGGTGCTCTTGGCATTGGAGTGTAAAACAACACTGTTTTGTACACAAATATGGCAACATAAAAGACATTTGGAAATAATTTTAACAATATCTTAAGGATTATGACCCTTTCTATAGGCTTGTGTATTACGAAATTTTCAAAGTGCTACAGTATCAAAACAGCAAAAATACAGAATATAAGTGATGCGCCATTTTGTACATATACCAAAGGGAAACGTTGTGCAAAGCGATACTGTTTATTGTTTCATTGCATTGAATAGAAAATGGGGATTTTGTGGCAAATAAAGCCAAGATTTTTGAAAAAAATCTGCAGACTTTATTACAGAGATTTTCTTTATGAAATTATAAATATAGATTACTCACTTGTTTGTCCATGATGTGCTAGCATTTATTGTTTATAAAAAGTCCTAAACAACCTTTATATTCCTACAAGAAGTACTTGAATAAGTCCATATTTATACTTATTTTAACGAATACCTTTATTTATTTAGTATTTAACTGGTAACAGTTATTCCACGAGGACGTGGTGTGCCGGAGGCCTATCTTACACTGACACACCAAGTCCGATTGGGACAATTATCATCCCAGCTTTTCTCGACTATAGGAAAAAATATTTAAGCTCCATAACATCTAGTTCAGAATGCCATACAATAATTATAATATACTTTATATTTTACTCTATAGTATATACCCTTAAGAGCCCCCAAATGTTTAAATATGTTAAATTAACAGTGAGTTTATATCCAGTCGTCCTGGTTTAGGGGTATGAATCATGGCTTCATATGCTTAAGGTCTCGAGTTGGATTCCCCGCATAGACACTGGAAATTTAGTGGATTTTTTCTACATAAATTTTGAAAGTTAGTCTTATTTCTGCATAAATATTTCTAAGTTTTATTATGTGTTCGACGTTCCCACCAAAATGTTACAGAACAAAAGAAAGCATGCAGAACAAAGAAACTCAAGGTAAGGTGATCTGGTAGGGGGTGATCCTACTCAGATCACCCCTCTTAGAACAAAGGAGTTGGGATGTAAGTTTTAGGGAAATAATTGCAAGAACTGCATGCAATAATCCTCTATCTACATGTATTGAGACCTTAATTGTCAAATATAGGAGTACAAGGGGAAAGGCTGTGGTTTCTTTATAAAAAAAAATCCATATGTAGCATTGTAACAACAAAAGGGAACATAATCCTTAAGTTTTTGTTAAAAATTTTGTCCATGTGTTATGATGAATCTTACTAGATACACAGAGAAAATATTGTAGCCCACACCTGCACTCACATTAGTCATGTCAACGTATATTTGTTCCACCTAACAGAAGTTCCACTGGAAACTTTGTTATAAACAATGTCATAATATCTGTTCCTGTTGGAACAAATATTCTATACCATTTATTCTGTTAGGAACATTTACTGTAAGTTTTATTCCAGTGGAAATAATATTCCAGAATATTGTTTCCATTTGGAACTTATATTATGAAGGAACTTCTATTCCGTGACAATCGCTATTTGACCGCCATTACTGGACATCACCAAGGTTCCCGTAAAATTTTGGAGTCATAACACAACATATCTGACGTCACAATGGAAAAGTGATTGTTGTATGACGTCAATAGTTCAAAAGGCGCAGATTCTTGGGTCAACCGGCGCAGATTTCCATATAGCGATAAGGTGTATAATTTGCCATTATTCTCTAATTTTAATACTCAATGTTCGATTATGGCTTAAAACTGCGTATCTAGAGGTAACATGTATTTGAAATCAAGTTCAAACACATAATCTCTAAAAATATGAAAAGACATTGAAATCCAAATAAAAAAAAAATGGGGGAAGCCGGCAAATTTATTTTAATTTTTAAGCTACTTAAGATGTTTTTGGCTACTTATAACTCCTGTCATATATTCTACATTCCAATATATCAGTCTTTCTAGAATTTTAAACCTTAAATTTACCCTTATCCAAAGACATCGCTTATCAGAAATTTGCTTGTTAAAATTTGCACTTTTCTATTACAAGATTATGCAGTCGCCATTTTGAGTGTCACGTGATAACTTTCGTTAACAAGACATTTCGGCATTAAGACACATCGGAACCTAGGTCCAAAGGTCCGAAGACAGTTCGGCATCCGTTTTGGACATTAGTTTTTCTTGTCATCTAGGCTGTTTCTTAGTACATATACATCATTTGATTGCTGAATGATAGACATGATAGCCTGAGCATGAAAAGTTGGCACTGTTCAATTTGTGTAAATCCAAACTACAGCACATAACTTGTATGGTACAAGTTCATCTAATCCATTTGAAAGTTTATATCATTATTTAAATGATGATTGTGACATGAAAACGCCAACAAACTTATTTAAACCATCTCACCGTACGGGGCGCCGAATGGGACTTGAACTTTTTGTAATCAAAGTCAATTTTGTGTACACAAAATTCAATTCTGTCATAACAACAGTCGCGGATCCAGGGGGGGTCCGGGGGTTTGAACCCCCCTTTTTTTGACGATCAATGCATTTGAATGGGGACATATAGTTGGAACCCCCCCTATATCCTGGGTTAGGAACCCCCCTTTTATAAATGGCTGGATCCGCCCCTGAGTTTAACAAAATCATTTTTGTCTTACAAAACTATGTGATACAGACTTGTTTTATGAGAACTTCAATTTTGTAATGACAAAATTCTTTTTTGTAGACAAAATTTATGACAAAATTCAATTTTGTCAAATAGGTATGCAAATATAAACTTATGGAAATTAAAACACAAAATTCAATTTTGTTGTGATACAAAACTCAATTTTGTGAGGCAAAATTCAATTTTGTGTTTATTTTTGTCAGTGTAGAAAAAATTGAGTTTTGTTAAAACAGAAGTGAAAATTTAACAAAACTCAATTTTGTCTACACAAAAATAAACACAAACTTCAACAAAATTGAATTTTGTGACAAAATCTCAGTTTTGTATGCAAATTAGTTCACAGAATTCAAACTAAACTAATTGGCATACAAAATTGACTTTTGTCGCCTAATTTTCAAATTAGGTAACAAAAGTAAAGTCTGTGATACAAAAATGAATTTTGTCATGACAAATTTTGTTTAAACTGAACTCATTTTTGTTGAACAAAACTCACTTTTGTCCGTACAAAATTGAATTTCGAGTACAAAACTGCAAGAGTCCCGTTCGGCGCCCCGTTCACCGTGGTCAGTCGACACCAATACAAAGGATCGACCAATACGTTCAAATAAAGCAAAAACAAATTGTAAGACACATCTACGAATTCTTAACACCAATCTCCAGTCAATCAAACGTAAACAACATCTAGTCCAAAATTAGCTGCGGAACCGTAGCTCTTAGGTCCTTCTGATTTTTTTTACAATTAGAGAACCAGAGATATGTCTCTGGCGGACCATCTATGGTCCGCAAATTGTCAAAAAATATCCGATGATAATGACCTAAGAGCTAAGGTTCCGCAGCTAGTTCAAAATATCATAGAAAGCACTAAACCGGATATTTTAACCGAAACAGAAACTTGAAGTTGGCTCGATTCAACTATCAAAGATATTCCCTGCAGAGTACAAACTATACAGAAATGACAGGAAAATTCACCAGGGTGGAGGTGTACTCATATTAAATCAGACTTTATTAGCAATGAAGTTTAAGACCTAACACCTGATGATAAATCTGAAATAGTATGGGCCTCTGCATACGGGAAAGTATTGGTGTACGGGAAGAAAATAATTCTCTATTTTCTTTTCATCAATATTTTTGTAACAACCTGATGGGCGCTTCCACAACAACTACATTTTGCTAAAGCACTCTTGTATCTACCAAGTATATTAAAAATCACTGAGATAATTTTCTACACCATATACATTTTTGAACAGTCTATACTACGTAATCTATTTTTATCATTTGACATACTTTTGTCATATCATTCTTGCTCAAATTTATCAAAAGATACATTTTGCAATATTCTTAGATAAAACCTTGTAGCACCATTACACAAATATTCCATATCAAGTTCTTTAAACTTATTTTTCAATCTAAAATGCCAATTTTTTACTCTTCTACATGTGTTACCCCATAATATATATATATATATATATATATAGATTGCCTAACAATGTAATTTTAACACACTATTTAGTATGTAAATATAAGAATGTTTAAAATATTTACAAAATGATGAAAATAAACGCAATATTTCGCTAGACTAACTAGCTTTATCAAGCGTGCATCTATCCAGGTGAAATCGGATGTAGATGATAAGAAACTTTTGCAGCTCAATGTTTATGTTGCACTTGAATTTAGCTGCCTTGAAAATAATACATAATTTGGATGAAGTTCAAGATTTTTACAAAATTGGTGGTTGAAGTTAGCAACGTCCATTGGCCAATATTACAGGATAAAAAGGACGACGCTGTGTACTAAATTATTCTTTATCTTTCCTGTATCTTTTCTCATCTTTTTCGTTAAGACCATCAGGTTCTAAAGTGTGGAGTTGGTGGATCCAAAAATTTTCTCTTCTCCTTCTCGCCGTGGTGTCCCACTCAGTGTTGACTTCTATGATTTAGAAAGTAACATTATCAAAAGAATGTTTCGTTGAACGAAGATGTCTTGTGAGAGGACAGTTTTTGTTAGTTTTGTACCATGAACGATGGTTATTGAGCCGAATATTAAATTTGTCCATTGTTTCTCCCACATACTGAATGCCACAAGTGTCACATGTTAATATATAAATTGAGTTCTCCGTTTTACAGTTGGAATTTGAGTAGATGGTATAATTTTGTTTAGTAACGGAGCTGATGAAAGAACTGCTTGTATTCTTTCATCAGCTCCGTTACTAAACAAAATTTTGTTAGGCAATCTATAATTTTATTTGTGTAATTGAATTAATCTCTGTACTGATTAATCCACACTCCCATAGATTTGTATGTCATGTGCTGCTATTTATAGGCACTTATATATATATATATATATATATATACACTCTTAATTTACTCTATCACCATTTTTTTTAAGGACCGGTCATTATTTATCTCCAGGGACCCTGAATATAAAGAGGGAGATCAGAAAATAAATTTGGAACCTTGAAAAGATAGGTCAAAGGTTTCTTTATGTTAAAAGAACGGGACATGAGAAATTTTTAATTTTCAAATTGAAACAATCGAAAAATTAGCAAAAATAACAAATAGACAAAAGGAGAGAGCTAGGTGACAAACATGACAAAGGATCGAGAGGGAGAATTGTTTATGTACAAAATATACACCACAATATCATTTGAGAAATAGAATATGACATGGTTCCTGTTTTCATATTTTTACGCATGGTACTCTTTGACGTAGTGGTCAAAACTTTCAATTTAGGAATTATGCTTGATCTTATTTATGTTGATTTAAATTTCGGTTACAATAAAAAGAATGAGTTCGTGTTAACCAGACAATATTTGTTACCTTACAAACCTATTTGGCAGAGTGTTAAATGCTTATTCTAATTACTGCGACATCTGATTGCATTTTTCACATTATTAGATAAAAGCATCACATAAATTACTGAATTTACAGTATTATAGTAGATGTGCACAGATACGTATTACGTAAAATGACACAGTTTTTAATTAAGAATTTAATGCTTCTTTTTGTAAATTTATTTGGGTATAAAATTGTTGACCGAAGTACATTTTGTATGAAGCGCAGAAGCAAAAACACAACCTTTAACACATCTCAACATTAAGACCTAAACCTAAATAATATGAATGATAACAATAACAATATCATAAATGAAAAACATTGGTAGCTTATCTCCCTATTCCAATAAATATACATTTATGAAGGTAATATGTATTTCCATTGACCTTAAACAACCAGAAGCGGTAGAAACACAGGAAGATTTAATCTGCATAAGTTTTGAAATTAATGTGAAAATTGAGAATGGAAATGGGGAATGTTTCAAAGAGACAACAACCCGACCAAAGAGCAGAAAACAGTCCAAGGCCACCATGCAATGGGTCTTCAACGCAACGAGAAAATCCCGCAACCGGAAGCGGGCTTCAGTTGGCCACTAAACAAAATTGTGTACTAGTTCAGTGTAAATGGACGTCACACTAAACTCTGAAACATATAAATGAACTAAAATAAAAATAAAACATACAAGGCTAACAAAGGCCAGAGGCTCCTGACTTGGGACAGGCGCAAAAATGCGGCGGGGTTACACATGTTTTGCGAGATCTCAACCCTCCCCTTTACCTCTAGCCAATGTAGAATAAATAAACACACAGCAATACGCACATTAAGAAGTCCGAGTCCGATGTCAGAAAAGGTAACAGAAGAAACTAAGCAAAATAACAATGATACATAAATTAACAAAGAACTACATGACAGCTCCAGACCTCAATTTAACTGATTTAAAGATTATGTCTTCATCATAAGAAAATGGTGCATGTATATAAATGGACATAAATGTATTTAAGACATTGTAAATTTATCAGGTTGAAATTTGAAAAAAATCTTTTTCAACGGATTATACCAGTTTTGTATCACGAAAGCCTGTTTATTACCTATAAATAGCCCCCCTTTTTGCTCATCAAAGATGAATAATAATCCTTGCTCTGTTTAATTTCTCGTGTACATTAACCTATATCTGAATCATTTCATAATTTTCTTTAATGAAATCTCTTAAATGATCTTTGAAGCAAAATTCCATCTGTTCTACCGTCATCATCACCAATAATTGAAGTCAGATTTGAATCTATATGATTATGTAATATAAAATCGGTTTTCTTTGATACATGATTTGCATCATTTTGGTGTCTAATATTACATTTTTATTGTGTTAATAGCTGTTGTATTTTTTGGTATTTGATTAGCAATTTAAACCAATAAAAGCAAAATTAAATAAATATAAAAATAAGGATGCCAATGAGACAACTCTCCACAAGAGACTTAATGACACAGAAATTAACAATTATAGGTCACCGTACGGCCTTCAACAATGAGCAAAGACCATACCGCATAGTCAGTCTATTAGGTTTCGTCTATTACAGTAATTTTCACAATT